TCCCCTCGGAAAAGAGATATGATGACTGAGATGTGAGACAGAGCCCAATGTTGGTGCAGCTCTCCTCAGGGACATCCACAGGGTTTTTAACTGATAATTTATGGTTGTAGCTATGAAGTCCACAGTGCCAGGGGAGGATGCTATGGAGGCAGGGGGATGGAGACTGTGCTAGGGAAACCACAATATATTATCATCAGAGCCAAGGTTCATGAGCCTCTGGGGGGAAGGTAAATTGGTCCGCCCAGCTGTAAACCTACAGCATGAGGGGAAGTTGGTTTCTATGAGAGAGAGAGCGAGAGAGAGCGAGAGAGAGCGAGCGAGAGAGAGCGAGCGAGAGATGGTTTTACACAATGCATAAAAACCTGAACCAGGTAATTACAGTTGGGCCAGTAACCGAAAGTTTGCTAGTTCGAATCCCCAAGCCGACAAGGTGAAAAATCTGTAGATTTGCCCTTGAGCAAGGCACTTAACACTAATTGCTTCAGGGTCACAGATGATAATGGCAGACCCTGGCCATGACCCCACTCGCCAAGGGTGTCTCAGGGAGAGTTGGGATATGCAGAAAACACATTTCCAATTCACACATATTATATTATTAAAACACACGTGTACATGTGTGAAATAGGACAAATATAAGCACCACCAAATTACACTGAACAAAAATATGAACGCAACATATAAAGTGTTGGTCCCATGTTTCATGAGCTGAAATAAAATATCCCAGAAATGTTCCATATGCACAAAAAGATTATTTCTCTCAAATGTTGTGCACACATTTGTTTACATCCGTGTTAGTGAGCATTTCTCCTTTGCCAAGATAATCCATCCACCTGACAGGTGTGGCATATCAAGAAGCTGATTAAAGAGCATGATCATTACACAATGCACCTTTGCTGGGGACAATAAAAGGCCACTCTAAAATGTGCAGTTTTGTCACACAACACAATACCATAGATGTCTAACGTTTTGAGGGAGCATGCATTTGGCATGCTGAATGCAGGAATGTCCACCAGAGCTGTTGGCAGAGAATTGATTGTTAATTTCTCTACCATAAACTGCCTCCAACGTCGTTTTAGAGAATTTGGTAGTATGTCCAACCCTCCTCACAACCGCAGACCATGTGTATGTCGTCGTGTGGGCGAGCGGTTTGCTGATGTCAACATTGTGAACAGAGTGCCCCATGGTTGCGGTGTGGTTATGGTATGGGCAGGCATGATGTCACGCTCTGGCTCCGGGACTTTGTATGTTGAGCCAGGGTGTGTTCGTTTCGTTGTGTTCTGTTTGGTTGGGTTGTCTATGTGGTTGTTTCCTTGTTTGGTCGTGTGACTCCCAATCAGTGGTAACGAGTGTCAGCTGTCGGCTCGTTATCTCTGATTGGGAGCCATATTTAAACTGTGTGTTTTCACCTTGTGTTTGTGGGTTTTTGTTCCTGTACAGTCATTGTCACTGTGGACTTCACGTATCGTCATTTGTTTTGTGGTTTTCGTGTTGCACTTTAATTAAATAAAGTCATGTTCGCTCAACGCGCTGCGCTTTGGTCCACTCCCTCATTAGACGATCGTGACAGAAAAACCCACCATCAAAGGACCAAGCAGCGTGTCCAGGAATCGGCAGCCTGGATGTGGGAGCAGCGTCGGAGGGACGAGAGGCACCCCCAAGAAATTTTTAGGGGGGGGCACAGGGCATGGACGACGGGGCTGACGGAGGCAGAGAAGGGGCGAATTCAAAAGGCCACCAGGTTACGGGGCTCACTGGTCAAAGTAGGGAAAGGAGGTTTAGAGGCATGGCGAGAGGTACTGGGGTGTGTTACCAGTCCGGTCCGGCCCGTTCCAGTTCCCGGAGTAGAGCCAGTGGTGTGTATCCCCAGTACGGTCCGGCCTGTCCCTGCTCCTCGCACTAAGCCTACGGTGTGCGTCGCCAGCCCAGCCCGGCCTGTTCCTGCTCCACGCACAAAACCTACGGTGTGCGTCGCCAGCCCAGCCCGGCCTGTTCCTGTTCCACGCACCAAGCCTACGGGGTGCGTCGCCAGCCCAGCCCGGCCTGTTCCTGCTCCACGCACAAAACCTACGGTGTGCGTCGCCAGCCCAGCCCGGCCTGTTCCTGTTCCACGCACCAAGCCTACGGGGTGCGTCGCCAGCCCAGCCCGGCCTGTTCCTGCTCCACGCACAAAACCTACGGTGTGCGTCGCCAGCCCAGCCCGGCCTGTTCCTGCTCCACGCACAAAGCCTACGGCGTGCGTCGCCAGCCCAGCCCGGCCTGTTCCTGCTCCACGCACAAAACCTACGGTGTGCGTCGCCAGCCCAGCCCGGCCTGTTCCTGCTCCACGCACAAAGCCTACGGGGTGCGTCGCCAGCCCAGCCCGGCCTGTTCCTGCTCCACGCACAAAACCTACGGTGTGCGTCGCCAGCCCAGCCCGGCCTGTTCCTGCGCCACGCACAAAGCCTACGGCGTGCGTCGCCAGCCCGACCCGGCCTGTTCTTGCCACTCGCACCAAACCAGGGGTGCGAGTCGCCAGCCTGGTCCAGCCCGTTCCTGCTACTCGCACCAAGCCAAGGGTGCGAGTCGTCAGCCTGGTTCAGCTCGTTCCTGCTACTCGCACCAAGCCAGGGATGCGAGTCGTCAGCCTGGTGAGGCCCGTTCCTGCCTCACGCGCCAAGCCAGGGGTGCGCGTCGTCAGTCCAGATCCTACCAGCTGGGTCAGATCGGACCGGGGGCGCTACGGGGGGATTGAAGCCCTCCCCTGTTTGGGGTTTTTGAGGCGCGGTCGCAGTCCGCGCCTTTAGGGGGGGGTACTGTCCCGCTCTGGCTCCGGGACTTTGTATGTTGAGCCAGGGTGTGTTCGTTTCGTTGTGTTCTGTTTGGTTGGGTTGTCTATGTGGTTGTTTCCTTGTTTGGTCGTGTGACTCCCAATCAGTGGTAACGAGTGTCAGCTGTCGGCTCGTTATCTCTGATTGGGAGCCATATTTAAACTGTGTGTTTTCACCTTGTGTTTGTGGGTTTTTGTTCCTGTACAGTCATTGTCACTGTGGACTTCACGTATCGTCATTTGTTTTGTGGTTTTCGTGTTGCACTTTAATTAAATAAAGTCATGTTCGCTCAACGCGCTGCGCTTTGGTCCACTCCCTCATTAGACGATCGTGACACATGAACTATGGACAACGAACACAATTGCATTTTATCGATTGCCAATTTGAGTGCACAAAAATACCGCGACGAGATACTGAGGCCCTTTGTGAGGCCCATTTTTTAAAGGTATCTGTAACCAACAGATGCATATCTGTATTCCCAGTCATGTGAAATCCATAGATTAAGGCCTAATTAATTTATTTCAATTGACTTGTTTCCTCATATTAACTGTAACTCAGTAAAGTCGTTGAAATTGTTGCATGTTATGTTTATATTTTTGTTCAGTATATTATTATTATTAGTAGTAGTAGTAGTAGTATTATTATTACAAGACCAAGGCGTTACATTCAGGTGTTGCCTGTTGACCATTTGATTCAGTATTTGCACAGCAATGTTTTACATGCTAAATATGTATGTGATCTCCTTGTTTCCCTCACAGCAATCTCTCTTCACAATGTCAGTGTTTGCGTTCGCTCTCCTGGCCCGGCTGGATGGATCATGCACCGTATCCCAGTTTACCGCCAGAGACCCCCTCCAGGACCCTGACTGGGCTCCACCACCATGCATAAAAGGACATCACTGAAACATCACTGAGACACAAAAACGCTGCCTAAATGTATCTTATCTTAATAATGTATAAGATTAATTAATGTATAAACACATAAACTAAACCACAATAATTTACCAGGTGGATGGTATAATGTTTAATATTTGTAATTTATTTTGTTTCTAAAGAGGTTGGATCATGAAATTGAGTATTTTGGTCTTGATGTCTTGCATTGTTGCTTGTCTTTATTGCAGACATTTAACATTGTTTCAGCAGACTGGCACCCAGCCCACTCAGTTTTCACCTCCACAATTCCAATCTGCATGTGTCTTCAGTTGAATTAGTGATTTTTTTTACATGTCTTCTAGTGGACAAAGAGAACCAGGAACCAGTGAGTTCACTCAGGACCAGGCTCCAGAGACAGGATGTTGTTACTTTATCAGCTGGAGATGGGAATGGTTGTGGTTCTTTGCAAACACTGGGATCCGTTGAAACTGAAATTCTTGTTTATCTTTTAGCTGGGGTGTACTGGGAATAATTCTAATTGCTTCCTGTAAAGAAAATAAAATGTTCCTGATATAAATAGTCAGTTGCCATAACTCCCCAGTGACAATGGAAAGACTGTTGGAAAAGCAAGAAACTATAGGAACCAATTTATCCTCACCACTAACTACTGTGGTTCTCAAATGGCCTATGTTTACCACAAAGAAATACAGTAGTTTGATAGTATCCTTCCCTAAACATGGTCTTTGTGCATACTGTCAAAATACATTGTTTAAAAATGCTACCCATTATGCTCTTTATAAATTACAGTTACAAAATCTCTGACAACCATCTGTTGCTGGATTATAATTGATGTAAAATAGTGATAGATAGCCTATAGCCTAAGAGGAGTAAGTATACCACCACCTTTGAACCTCACTCTTTCAATCTCAGCTGACGCAAAAGAGCATTAGCAGCCTCGTGTTGAGGCGGTGTTAGAAATCACTTTCTTGAATGACAATTTGTCAGAGTCGGACCAGTCCATTTTGAAAAGTATGTGATTATTTAGATCTGGCTTCTTCTATCAGCACAATGACATACATTCCCAAACTATAAAACATGTCCACGAAAGACACCTCATGCAATTACATTACTTACAAGCCCAACGCAATCGATTGCAATTGCTGCTAACATGCTTTTTATGGCAGCAGTGGTTCAACCAGAGCGAGCTTTTGTGCGAGGGGGATTATTCACTTTTTGAAGACTGAGGGGGAACAACACCGTAGGGGAGAACAAAAAAAACATTTGACAGTGTTTGTTTTAGGATTCGTGACGTGTTTCCACAATGTCTACGAAAGCAGAGCAATGTAAGTACCATTATTTAAAATGTTCCTAATATATCATTATCCACCCATTTTATGGTGTAATTTTCTAGTGAGAAAGCGAAGGAGGGAAGCGGTCCTTGGTGATGAAACCGCGGTTGCTAAGGCAGGTTGCAACACGTCCTCGCTCTGCAGAGGATGGCTCTAGGGGCTAGCGTAGGGGATGCCTATTTTCTGGCGGTGGTCAACACAACGATATGGGTAAACATAATAATAGATATTAAGCATACATTTTTGATTGACACGTTGAAAGAAAGGTTGGTGCGGAGACCGAGATGTAGGTTATTGGTTTCAAGGTCGATTTGACAAATGCTCCGCTAAACAATATGGTGGCATTGGTGATCAGTAATGTGTTTGCTTTGCTTGTTCTTTTACTTACTTGACATAATATGAGACGAGTTTTTTCTTCGTCATTTGCCTCTGAACAGGTGGATAAGCATACTGCGGTTACACTGTTTTTGATCAACTGAATCAATGCACAGTGTAATAAACAATTGGTGGTTTGTTGTTGTTGTCAATCAACACGCCTTGGAGAACTCAACATTACTCAAATAGGCATGTGTTACTTGGTTTCGAATAGGCCTATAGTAATAAATGGAAGAAACAAGTTAATATAGGCCCATCTACATTTATTTGGTATGAAGCCTGCTCAATATCGACTTGAAATATACTTGGCCATGTTTGGGGAAAAATAGAATGTTATATAGGCTACTCTATGGTCCCATGTAGGCTATGTATTGTAAACATCACAAGAAAGGGAAAAAATCACCATTTGAACTCTAGCCTATTGTAATGAATACTCAGGGAGAAAAAGGTGTAGGTAGATTCACGCGTAGAGCGCGGCAGGTGTTTATTTCGCCTTCGCAGAAGGCAGGAATCGTTGTCACAGGCAGGCAATGGTCATAAACAGGTAGGCAAACAGGTAGGAAAATCAAAAACTAGGACTGAAGGCTATAACTGGTTCTCACAAACGAGCTAGGAAAAGGCTTAGTAGAGTCAAAACGAACAATACCTCACAAGGCACAAACAGAAAGAACTGAACTAAATAAGAGACAGTAGACTTCAAGATTTTGCACCTTTGCTAATCTCATCCACCCAGCAGGCTCTAGCAAGTGAGCCTGTGGATGAGGTTACACCTTTGCTCACATTTCTGGTTTTGCAAATGTGTCTGAAGGTAGCCTACTCATATTAGTTATGTAGTCATTCATTGCTATGAAATTTGCAAAAAAGAACACACTCCATACACCCACGAACAGTGCATTCGGAAAGTATTCAGACACCTTGACTTTTTCCACATTTTGTTATGTTACAGCCTTATACTAAAATTGTTTTCCCCCCCTCATCAATCTACACACAATACCCCATAATGACAAAGCAAAAATAGGTTTTTAGAAATTTTAGCACATTTATAAAAAATAAAAAAACGTAAATATACCATTTGCTTAAGTACACTGCTCAAAAAAAATAAAGGGAACACTAAAATAACACATCCTAGATCTGAATGAATGAAATAATCTTATTAAATACTTTTTTCTTTACATAGTTGAATGTGCTGACAACAAAATCACACAACAATTATCAATGGAAATCAAATTTATCAACCCATGGAGGTCTGGATTTGGAGTCACCCTCAAAATTAAAGTGGAAAACCACACTACAGACTGATCCAACTTTGATGTAATGTCCTTAAAACAAGTCAAAATGAGGCTCAGTAGTGTGTGTGGCCTCCACATGCCTGTATGACCTCCCTACAACGCCTGGGCATGCTCCTGATGAGGTGGCGGATGGTCTCCTGAGGGATCTCCTCCCAGACCTGGACTAAAGCATCCGCCAACTCCTGGACAGTCTGTGGTGCAACGTGGCGTTGGTGGATGGAGCGAGACATGATGTCCCAGATGTGCTCAATTGGATTCAGGTCTGGGGAACGGGCGGGCCAGTCCATAGCATCAATGCCTTCCTCTTGCAGGAACTGCTGACACACTCCAGCCACATGAGGTCTAGCATTGTCTTGCATTAGGAGGAACCCAGGGCCAACCGCACCAGCATATTGTCTCACAAGGGGTCTGAGGATCTCATCTCATCTGTTGCAGGCAGCAGAACGTTCTCCACGGCGTCTCCAGACTCTGTCATGTCTGTCACATGTGCTCAGTGTGAACCTGCTTTCATCTGTGAAGAGCACAGGGCGCCAGTGGCGAATTTGCCAATCTTGGTGTTCTCTGGCAAATGCCAAAACGTCCTGCACGGTGTTGGGCTTTAAGCACAACCCCTACCTGTGGACGTCGGGCCCTCATACCACCCTCATGGAGTCTGTTTCTGACCGTTTGAGCAGACACATGCACATTTGTGGCCTGCTGGAGGTCATTTTGCAGGGCTCTGACAGTGCTCCTCCTGCTCCTCCTTGCACAAAGGCGGAGGTAGCAGTCCTGCTGCTGGGTTGTTGCCCTCCTACGGCCTCCTCCACGTCTCCTGATGTACTGGCCTGTCTCCTGGTAGCGCCTCCATGCTCTGGACACTACGCTGACAGACACAGCAAACCTTCTTGCCACAGCTCGCATTGATGTGCCATCCTGGATGAGCTGCACTACCTGAGCCACTTGTGTGGGTTGTAGACTCCGTCTCATGCTACCACTAGAGTGAAAGCACCGGCAGCATTCAAAAGTGACCAAAACATCAGCCAGGAAGCATAGGAACTGAGAAGTGGTCTGTGGTCACCACTTGCAAAACCAGTCCTTTATTGGGGGTGTCTTGCTAATTGCCTATAATTTCCACCTGTTGTCTATTCCATTTGCACAACAGAATGTGCAATTTATTGTCAATCAGTGTTGCTTCCTAAGTGGACAGTTTGATTTCACAGAAGTGTGATTGACTTGGAGTTACATTGTGTTGTTTAAGTGTTCCCTTTATTTTTTTGAGCAGTGTATTAAGACCCTTTACTCAGTACTTTGTTGAAGCACCTTTGGCAGCGATTACAGCCGTAAGTCGTTTTGGGTGTGACGCTACAAGCTTGGCACACCTGTATTTGGGGATTTTCTCCCATTCTTCTCTGCAGATCCTCTCAAGCGCTGTCAGGTTGGATGGGGAGCGTCGCTGCACAGCTATTTTCAGGTCTCTCCAGAGACGTTAGATCGGGTTCAAGTCCGGGCTCTAGCTGGGCCACTCAAGGACGTTCAGAGACTTGTCCCTAAACCACTTCTGCGTTGTCTTGGCTGTGTGCTTAGGGTCGTTGACCTGTTGGAAGGTGAACCTTCGCTCCAGTCTGAGGTCCTGAGCGCTCTGGAGCAGGTTTTCATCAAGGATCTCTCTGTACTTTGCTCTGTTCATCTTTCCCTCGATCCTGACTAGTCTCCCAGTCCCTGCTGCTGAAAAACATCCCCACATGATGCTGCCACCACCATGCTTCACCGTAGGTATGGTGCCAGGTTTCCTCCAGACGTGACGCTTGGCATTCAGGCCAAAGAGTTCAGTCTTGGTTTCATCAGACCAGAGAATCTTGTTTCTCATGGTTTGTGAGTCGTTTAGGTGCCTTTTAGCAAACTCCAAGTGGGCTGCCATGTGCCTTTTATTGAGGAATGGCTTCTGTCTGGCCACTCTACCATAAAGGCCTAATTGGTGGAGTGCTGCAGAGATGGTTGTCCTTCTGGAAGGTTCTCTCATCTCCACAGAGGAACTCTGGAGCTCTGTCAGAGGGACCATCAGGTTCTTGGTCACCTCCCTGACCGAGGCCCTTCTCCCCCGATTGCTCAGTTTGGCTGAGCGGCCAGCTCTAGGAAGAGTTTTGGTGGTTCCAAACTTCTTCCATTTAAGAATGATGGAGGCCACTGTGTTCTTGGTGACCTTCAATGCTGCAGAATGTTTTGGTACCCTTCCCTAGATCTGTGCCTCGACACAATCCTGTCTCGGAGCTCTACGGACAATTCCTTCGACCTCATGGCTTGGTTTTTGCTCTGACATGCACTGTCAGCTGTGGGACCTTATATAGACAGGTGTGTGCCTTTCCAAATCATGTGCAATCAAGTTGTAGAAACATCTCAAGGATGATCAATGGAAACAGGCTGCACCTGAGCTCAATTTCGAGTCTCATAGCAAAGGGTCTGAATACTTATGTAAATAAGCTTTTTTATTTTGAATAAATTAGCCAAAGAAATTAAAACCTGTTTTTGCTTTGTCATTATGGGGTATTGTGTGTAGATTGATGAGGAAAACAATTAATTTAATCCATTTTAGAATAAGGCTGTTACGTAACAAAATGTGGAAAACGTGAAGGGGTCTGAATACTTTCTGAATGCACTGTATATAACCTAAACACACTAATTTACTTACACATACACACACACACACACACCCTCCCCCACACAAAAACAAAGCCTGTCGGTGTTATTGTTATTTTTGGGACTTGTCATTTGCAGGTCAGCGAGAGCTAAACACTACCACCTCTCTGAGTCACAAAATGGCACCAAAATGACCCACTCCAGGGCTGGTTGTGACCTAGCTGGCCAAACACAAAGGTCACTTAAAGAGAGACAATGAAGGTGCCACAGAGACCCTGACCCTTTGCCATGCTTATGGGGCAGCATATCAATGACCAGGCTTATACTGTACCAACAATAACCCATCGGCCACCCCCCTCCCCCTGATTTGATAAAGGCTTTCATCAGATTTCATATGTTTATCACTCTGCTCTTTATCTTGTTTAGTTGCCTCTAAGATACGATACTTGCAAGAGTATCACAACCGCGTGCAACACAATATTTACCCCGTGCCCTCCGGAACAGACATTGCAAACACACTGAAATACTTTTCCCAAACCCTGCTCAGGTAAGTACCCTGCGCTGGAACCACAGGTGAAGTAACAGAGTCTAACAGTATTTGATGTTTAGTTTCAGAGGAGAGGTGACTGGGGTTAAGCCTAATTCTAATACATGCACAGCATCATGACAGCATTATTGCTGGTAGGAAGTCAGTTGGAATTAAAAGATAGAAGTGGAATAATGGGAAACGGTATTCTACAATGTAACTTTATAGTGTGCATTGTCATTTAAGGATCCTAGTTGAAAACCCCCCTGGTAATTTTCAGAGAGGGAATAGTCTTGCTCCATCCTCTGCCTTTGTGATACCATATGCTTCATGTTTCTGTATGAGGACCATGATCCTACAGTATCTCATCACTGATAGTGCAGTAAGAATCAACAACATGATCCTACAGTATCTCATCACTGATAGTGCAGTAAGAGTCAACAACATGATCCTACAGTATCTCATCACTGATAGTGCAGTAAGAGTCAACAACATGATCCTACAGTATCTCATCACTGATAGTGCAGTAAGAGTCAACAACATGATCCTACAGTATCTCATCACTGATAGTGCAGTAAGAATCAACAACATGATCCTACAGTATCTCATCACTGATAGTGCAGTAAGAGTCAACAACATGATCCTACAGTATCTCATCACTGATAGTGCAGTAAGAGTCAACAACATGATCCTACAGTATCTCATCACTGATAGTGCAGTAAGAGTCAACAACATGATCCTACAGTATCTCATCACTGATAGTGCAGTAAGAGTCAACAACATGATCCTACAGTATCTCATCACTGATAGTGCAGTAAGAGTCAACAACATGATCCTACAGTATCTCATCACTGATAGTGCAGTAAGAGTCAACAACATGATCCTACAGTATCTCATCACTGATAGTGCAGTAAGAGTCAACAACATGATCCTACAGTATCTCATCACTGATAGTGCAGTAAGAGTCAACAACATGATCCTACAGTATCTCATCACTGATAGTGCAGTAAGAGTCAACATGATCCTACAGTATCTCATCACTGATAGTGCAGTAAGAGTCAACAACATGATCCCCCTCTTGTCATGCCATGGCTGTTTGGAATAGTATGCTCAAATTGAGACAAGCCAAAAATGGCAACTTTGGCAGATTTTAGTTGTGTTGATGTTGTCTGCAAGTAGGAGGTTATAAATGTTAATAATGATGTTATCTTGCTGATTATACCGGGTATGGTTTGTATTATATTTTAGAAAAAACTAACAAAAATAAATAGGCAATTTCAACCCCTCTGTAGGTTCAGTGGTAGCTTCTCCTTAGAGTACAGTCCCATGGATCCTGTATCTCATCCGAGGGGCTAGAAGAGTCTGATCCCGGCTCTTGGTCATGACAAGGCCCCTGTTTGTGACAGTAGGCCAATGAGAAAACAAATGCCTTGGCAGATAGGTTGTCAGCAAGTAGGAGGCATTATAGGTCAATAAGAGTATCTGACTATTTAGGTTGTTGATTTTGAGCAACATAATAGGAAAATCTGTGGTTGTGTACTTTCTAAGAACATTCCTTAGGCCAGTTCACTCCCAAAGGGTGCGGAGAATATGGATTATGGCTCCTTTTGAAGTCCACACAGTGGACTGTGACAGTAGGTGATGAAAACATGTCCGCTGCAACAGTATGAAGCCAAGCAAAACATTGGTAAAGTATCGTGATCTTTGGCTTGAGTCTGAGCAGAGCTCAGTCTAGCAAAGAGTGTGCTTTGATAAGCTGGCATCATCATTGGCACAGTATTAAGGGTGGGATGTAAATGGATTTGTGTCCGCAGCATGTTGTACGTAATACTTTTACGAATGACAATTGTGGTCCTGTGAGGCGCAGTATCGTTGGAGTGGTGACAGGGCGTGATTCGAGCCTGTGTGTGGCAGCATGTTAACTCGAATGACAATGGTGTCTGTGGAGGCGCCAGTAGTATCGTGGAGTGTGAAGGGATCATGCTTGGTATATACTGTAAACATTCGCCTCATGTTTTCCTTGAGCCAAATCTCCTCCCTCCCAACTCACACATCAAGCCATGCCTCCCACATTGAAACCACTCTGCACTGCTCAGTAGACTCTCAGACATTCAGACAGACACCTGTGTTTCATTGGCCTGGGGTGCACTGAGGCTTGAAAACTGGAACGAGCATATGTCAGGTTCCTGAAAAAGAAAGTATCCCGCACAGACAGAGGATGGAGTGGCCAAATGAATATTTAATGAATTCTGCAGCATAGAAAGATATCAGTGTAAGACAATGACGGTATTGGTGTAAAGGGATGGGGCTACCCATGGGCTCAATTTAAGGGGGTATACCCCAAGAGGGTGCCATGTAACATGTCCTATATTAGTCAAGGATGATGTAGTTGCCAGATTTTCCTCCCAGCCAGTCATCTAGAAAGTAACACATACCAGCCAAGCTCTCTAGCTCTCTGCATCAATGAGCCATGGATTCACAGTAACCCTGACCCCATGCCAAATTCCATCACTCATTAGAGTGACTGTGAGGAACCAAGATTCAGTCTGACACTGAATCAAGATAATGTAACGTATCATAGTATAATGGAATGTTACTCATTCATAGTTCCTCTTGAACCTTGCCTGGCATGAACAAGTCACACTCAAAGGAAATCAAAAATCTCACATCTAGCTATTTGAGAAACAAAAAACAGGGGCCATTACAGCATTATATCCCCTAGCTAATGCTTAGTTACATTCATGTAACTTATCATCAGTGGCTCACTCATGCTTGAGCGCAACTACATATTGCCACAGTTAGAGAAAACATTTGGAAGATAGCGATGCTTTAATTGGAAGTGTAGGATGTTTTATCTGATCTAAGACGTGTGTCTAACTGTGTGTGCATAATGTGAGTCTGTGGGGTTTGTCTGTGTGCATGTCTGTGTGTTTGTGTGTGTGTGTGGGTGTGTTCAATTGAATTCTGCAGTTTGATATGTGCAAAGAGGGCAGTGATATTAAGTCATACTCCACAAGATATAAAGCTGATCCCCCCCCATTGTTAAACTGACTATCCATTCCAACTCCCCGAGAAAAACTGTAAAACAATGTACTCTGGTTACTGGTATTTAAAATTGTCCAACATGGCCGAATTCTTACGGAGTATAACTTTCAGGGGAATCGTCAGAGTGAAGAAAGTGTTAAATTATGTTTATATTGTAAAATGTCATAATATTCTGTATTTCTACGCTAGAATCCCCTTACTCACTGCACCTCTAGAAATGCTATACCTCTATCTCTATGAATGACCTTTCAAAAACAATACATCAGAATTTGTAATCTGTGCTCTCATGCTAAGTACCTCCAAATAATTTTACTGATAGACCAGCTTTGTTTAAAAAAATTAAGTTTAGTAAAAGAGAAGGGCAAATCCACCCTCCCACCCCACCCCCACCCCCACCCCCATCCCCACCCACACACACACACTAACCAACCAACTAGTTCTCCCATCTCTCTAAATGGTGAGATATCCACCTTGCCAGGGGACAGAAAACACAAACGTCCATCCCACATTAGCTCACCAAACATAATGCTATGGTCATCCTGTTTGAAACAACCTATTCCTTTGTCATTATAGTTTCTCCCCTACCGTAGATTAGTTCTTACAATTATTTTAGAGACTTGAATCCATATGCCTGTTGGATCTCATTATTTCTCCTGATGATACTGATACAGTATCATAATGTATGCATACGGACATTTCTCTGGTGCAATAAACATGTGTTGTGACCCAGGAATTCTTATCTAACCTCACACACATGTTTATTACTAGCTGAAGCATGTTTCAAAAGTGCCACCTCTGTATTTTCCCTAACCGATTTGGTGTAGCTCCCATCCTTCACCACAGCCTCACAAAACAGGATATATATCCCTGAGATACATCATGGCCCATTGGCCTCTCTGTATGACTACTGCTGAATTGATCTGATTGGAATATAGCAGCCATAGAGGGAAAACCATTAGCAGTTTCCCCTTTGGAGAAGTATGGGGTTGCCACTGAAAACATGCAATTTTTTATATTTTTGCTCCTTGTCACCAGATACGCATGAGATGCAGTGATCATTGCAGTTTTTGCAAACGTTTCTGTTCATATTTTTTGTTTTTAGAAGACAAAGATGTACAAAAAGTGAAATAGAAAATTAAAGTAATTCTATATGACACTGAACAGATAAAGCAGGGAACAATTCCCAATGCCTTCAGTGAAATATTAGCGACACTGCATCCTATGTGGGGTCTATCTGGGTTTGTTGTTTTCTATTTACCCTGTCTCTGTAGTGCCATTTCAATGTAATGTGCTGTTTCTTTGTTTCTTTGTTGTCTCTTTTTTTCCCTTGTTCCCCCTCCCCTCTCCCTCCTCACCCCCGGAGCAGCATTCTGTCCCGCACAGGCAGGAAGGAGAACCAGGAAGCTTCCAATTTGGCCGTGCCCATGACCATGTGTCTTTTTCCTGTGCCATTCCCACTCACCCCATCTCTAAGACCACAAGTCAGTTCCATCAACCCTACAGTTACTCGCTCCCTCCTTTACAGCGTTCTGCGTGATGCCCCATCAGACCGCGGGGGGCAGGGGCAGCAGAGTCGGGACGCTCAGCTCTCAGAGTACCCCTCTCTGGACTATCAGGGGCTCTATGCGACCCTCGTGACCCTGCTTGACCTGGTGCCCCTGCTGCAGCACGGTCAGCATGGTGAGTGAAGTCAGGGTCTTCTCTGTACATGTCCATCGCCCCCCGACCATCTTTCTTGACGATATGAAACTGCCTTTTCTGGCCTCATTTCCTCCAAGAGAGGAGTCCCACAGAGGATCTAAAGGGATGCATGGGGTGATGGGGAACACGCTGGATCCTGACAGCTCACTTTGTTGATAACATAGAATAACCTGGAATTTACAGACATACTGTAGTACTGTATACATGTATTAACTGTTTGCTTTCTCTTTTTAAATGAGTATGTTAAATTGGAAAAATGCATTGAAAATGGAAATGTATCTGCAAAAAAAGCAATTTTAAAGGTTAAATTGCTATGGCCAGCATATGTTGTGTATCTATTAACTGCACCAGGGAATAGTAATATGTCAATAGCAAGTCTGTGAATATATCTGAGTATATAGAATGTTTGCAACAGCAGTGTTTCATGAATAATTGATCCGTAAAAAAAAAACGTAAAAGCATTAAAGCCTGTCTTCTTGACTAGAAAGCACTACCCTTTGCTGAGGGCAAACATCAGTTTCACAATGCTCTCTCAGGATGTTGTTGTATTTATACCAAACCTGGGTTCAAATATGATTTCAGGTATTTCAATTACTTTTCAATATATTTCAAAACAAGTATTCAGATAAATCTTTATTTGAAAAAACAAGTATTGGAATATTGGAATGTATTTGGAAATACACTCAAATACACTCCCAATTGAAAAACAAGTTATGAAATACTTTCAAATTCAAGTTGGTCGTCTATTTGATTTTTACAAATAACCATTCAAAACCAATAAAAGTACTTGTTTTGGGATGTGTATTTGAAAATACTCAAAAACACAGAAAGAAAGTATTTACTCAAATACACATATATTTGAACAGGTCTGATTTATACAAATTCTATATTTATGCATTTTCTTTAGGTTTTAATGCTATATTTTTTTATTTACTTTGGAACATATGTAAATTTCATTGGATTACTGTCTCTCTCTGTGTTTGTTCGTTTTGGCTCTCCCATCAGATCTGGGACAGTCCATATTTTACACAACAACTTGCCTCCTGCCCTTTCTCAGTGACGATATTCTCAGCACTTTACCCTACACTATGATCTCCACTTTAGCTACATTCCCCCCATTCCTGCACAAAGACATCATTGAGTACCTGAGCACCTCTTTCCTCCCAATGGCTATATGTGAGTACAGCCACTCTGTATCGAACATCCATCTACATGCATGTGAAAAATAACACTTTGTTTAATTCAAGACAAGTCATTAAGTGGGGTAAATATAATAGAATATCAGTAGTCATACCTATTTAGCAGAAATGTCAGCATGCATCACCATATCAAAGGAACTGCTTGGTTGCTGTCCCACTGTATGCACTACCTCATGAGGTTTAGGTTCTTTTATTTTCTGCCCTTCTTTAGTGGGTTCCACTAGAAGAGAAGGGGGCGTCCCAGCATATGTCAATCTCTCTGCCTCCTCTATGCTAATGATTGCTATGCAGTACACTTCCAACCCAGGTAAACCTTTAAATTAGGTTATCCCCAACCAGTACGTCACAGTTTTTCTGTCCAGTATAGCACAGCCTGTCTTTTGATTAATGTACTGTGCGCTATGTTGTACCTGTCACCTGCGTGACTTGAATCTCTGTCGATTTGTTTCCAGTATACCACTGTCAGTTGTTGGAGTGTCTTATGAAGCACAAGCAGGAAGTGTGGAAGGTATATGTCACAAATTGAATGTGTCATGATAGGTTAGATGCCCAAACAACTCTCTCATACAGATGTAGGATCTTCATTTATTCACCCTGTTGCAGGATAACTTTCCTGTATTTGAGGTTTATATTTAAGGTTAAAAAAGGCTTCTGAAGTTTGTAATTTCCACTGAATTTCAGACTTGATTTTCACTTGAGAAAAATGTATCAACCCCTACAAAAATGTCCATTACACATAATAATTCACATTTCCTGTTGCTGTAGGATTATTTCCCTGCTGTAGCAAACTTGCTCAAATTAAGATCCTACATCTGTAGATATGGAAAGTGTCAGTGAATAGCTTTGTGACGGTCTTAAACGTTAGCTCATCACTATGGCCTGTGTTGTGCTGTGGCAGGACCTACTGTATGTCATATCCTATGGACCATCCCAAGTCAAGCCTCCAGCCGTGCAGATGCTCTTTCATTATTGGCCAAACCTAAAGCCCCCAGGAGCCATCAGTGAATACAGTGGACTGCAGTACACAGGTGAGGGGCTTATGGTCTGCCTGTCAGGCTGTGCTTGTATGCAATACAGGTGGATTATTTTTATTTGATCACCCTGTTGCAGGAGAACTTTCCTGCAATACAGGACATTTAAAACTTGTAGTGTATTTGAGGTTTAAAATGGCTTCTGAAGTTTGTAATTTCCACTTTGAAATTTCAGACTTGATTTTCCCTTACGAAAAATGTATCAACCTCTACAAAAATGTCCATTAATTATAATCCACAAAATAATTCACATTTCCTGTTGCTGCAGGATTATTTTTCTGCTGTAGCAAATTGTCTCAAAATAAGATCCTACATCTGTAGATCTCAGGTTGCAGCAGTCTAACCTCCTCCCACACTACTTTCCCCTTTCCTCCTTTCCCTCTATTCTATTTTCTCCTGCCACAGCCTGGAACCCCATCCATTGCCAACACATTGAGTGTCACAATGCCATCAATAAACCTGCTGTCAAGGTAATGTCTGAGTAACTACTGTAGCCAATATAAAACACATACAAGACCAATATACTCAATACTCAGTGAGAACATCCATTCTGTACACAAACATAAAGTGAATACACAAAGTATGTGCCAGATTGCCATGGTGTGTTAAAGCGTCTTCATGTTTGCTGCTGTAAGCGCAACATTAAATGAGCCAGGGATTGCTTGAGTCACTGTGGTAGATCCGTGGGGTAATGATATCAGTGGCCACGCGACTCAAGGCCTGTTTGCTATGCTCAGCCTGTCTCTGCTCAACTGTGCTAAAAACTGACAAGTAGAGCAGAGACAGGAATGGGCAGGGACAGGGGCCGGATTTCAATTACCCAGGAGCACAGAGGGGGTGTATGAGGGGGGGCTAATTGGAAGCGATGACCCCATGCCGCCCCTGAGGATAGGGCGCCTATAAGCGAGAGCAGTAAATAACAGAACACAATCTGAGCATCCAGGCCATAAGCACTGTAGCTTAATACAAGGCCATGCACAGATCATAGATGATAGAACAGAGACATATGCATGCAGCCAGCCGCAGACTAAAGGCAAGCAGAGGCAGGTAAAGAGGACATTATACACACACACATTTATTTGAGTTGGAGGTGTGGTACACTCTTCTTATGACCCCTACAGTTAGATATCACTGCTACTACTGTATATTCCATCTGGATTCTGTAACTGTCTGTTGTCGCACTATAGATGTGCATCGACCCCACCCTCTCCGTTGCCCTGGGAGACAAGCCCCCTCCTCTATACATCTGTGAGGAGTGCAGCCAAAGGATAGCAGGGTATGTTATTGTAACCTCTTTCTCTCCACAAAGATGCCATTCCAAACATCACCTGCTGTCTGCTTCATTATTCTGGTCTTTATCACAAGGGAGAAGCATCACCATGGTTATGTAATTCCATTGCTGGAAGTGTGTTTTCAACTCTGAGGTAGTCTCAGCTAACTATAATTTGATTTATATATTCGTGTGACCTTTACAGAGACCATTCAGAATGGCTTGTTGATGTGCTCTTGCCCCAAGGTGAGTGTTAGCAAACGAGTATTAGCATTCAGGTTGCCATCTCTCTCTCTCTCTCTCTCTCTCTCTCTCTCTCTCTCTCTCTCTTTCTCTCTCTCTCTCTCTCTCCCTCTCTTACACACATACACAAGCACACACACATGTACCTCAAAATACCCCCAAAATAGAGTTGTGTAGGGAGGTGGAAGTTATTTTGGCTGAGTGAACCCATTGTCTGTCTGTATGTTATGTTGAATACCTCTGTGGCCTCATTTTTACAGCTGAGATATCTGCTATTTGTCAAAAGAAGGTAAGACATGAACGTTGGTGCATTGATATGTGTTTGTGTTTGTATTTGTTTGTGCTCTCATCAGCTCATGCACTATTCATAGTGGTATATCTCATGGCTAAAAAAGAGTACCCCTTTTTTCTTCATATTAGAGCAACAAGTGAAGTAGACTGGTAGAGTATAATTGTTTGCTAGTATTTGTTACTTCTCTGTTGGATGGCTTTGCTTACATAATCATGGACTGTGCCTGTGCCTCCCTTGCTATGTCATTGCTGGTTGTGTATAAATATCAAGCCTTCATGCAAACATCCACCCAGTGTTAATTTAACCATGACCAGTAAAACTGCTGTGTAATTGATTTGAGGACAGGAGAGGTAACCACCTGTGTCATTTCAAGTGGTGGAGAAAGAAACACTATGCTAGCCTGCTACAGGCTAACGGGGCCCAAAGAAGCTACAAACTTGCACTTCGACATTTCAAATAGCAAACCATTACATTTATCTCTGAAGTGTTTAAGGACTGTGCTCTTTCATTTGGAGAGTCCATTCACTGGAACACTCCGTTCATTACTTGTCTGATGGATGGCCCAGTCTTAATGGAACTGGCAGGGCATGATGTTTGTTCCGGAACACAGTCCCAAAGGCATAAAAGTTCCCCCTTGGTTCCCACGGAGACTGACACACAAATCTGTCAGGTAGTGTATCAAATAAAATAAAATAAAATGTTATTTGCGGCGAATACAACGGGTGTAGACTTAACCGTGAAGTGGTTGCCCTTCACAACGATGCAGAGATAAAAAAATTATAATAAAAAGAAAAGACTAAGCTGAGCAGCCACCCAGGGTTGTCATGGGAAACAGCTGTCCTACATCCAGTTCATCCAGCAGTAGTTTTAATCCTCACACAGCCTTTTCAATAGGCTTTGTCCCACTGCAGAAAGCCCTTTAAACTCTTACCTGGATCCATGCCAGCTCTCTCATTATCAGCACACACATTACTGTTCTATCTGAGAGTTGATTGCTTGTCAGAGTTACATCTAGAATAGGGATTGCTTTCACAGTGATCTGCAGTTACAGTATAAGATATACTGTAGTGCAGTGTTCCCCAACTGGCGGCACGCAGGCTGAATTTTGCACACAGGTGATTTTATTTGGCCCCCCAAGTTTTCTGAGCAAAATAGTTTTTTATTTGTTTTTGTTGGACATAGAAGACTGTAAAAACACCAGTAAATCAGCTCCAAGTGATACGAATTTTAGACATCTGTTCCAAAGCATGCACACCCAAAATTACACTAAGTGAAAGAACACCATTCATTCTTTTAATTTAGGATGTTTAAACATCAATTAATTTATTGAGGCATAGGACCATTTTAGGATAGCTTTTTTCACTTAAATGGTAAAAACAGTTTATTAGGATTTTAATATTTTCTCAGTTTATAAGTGATACGAGGAGTTGTTGTATCTCATTGTCCCCCCTCTGTCTTGTAGAACTGTAGCTCTCATGTCAGGAGGGCGGTTGTCACCTGCTTCTCAGCTGGTTGCTGCGGGCGCCATGGCAACCGGCCTGTCCGCTACTGCAAGCGTTGCCATGTCAACCACCACAGCAGCGAGGTGGGGGCTGCGGCGGAGACCCATCTTTACCAGACCTCCCCACCTCCCATCAACACCCGTGAGTGTGGGGCAGAGGAGTTGGTGTGCACTGTGGAGGCTGTTATCAGGTAAACACCACAGCATCACAGACAACACAGGCAACCAACCGCATGCTTCACAGTAGCACTGTATTCAACCACAGTTATATCTCTATCACTATCCGTCTATCTATCTCCCTCTGTCTTTCTGTCTGTCTCACTCTTTATTCCCATTCTCTCCATCTATCTATCAACATCAGTCTACTGAAGGAGGCAGAGATCCACGCGGAGCTACGTGAGTTTGAGCTGAACAGGCGTCGTCAGATGGGCCTGTCTGCCTCCCACCACTCCCTGGACAACATCGACTTTGACAACAAGGAGGACGACCAGCACGACCAGAGGCTCCTCAGTCAGTTTGGCATCTGGTTCCTGGTGCGTGGCTCGCTGGTCTACCACTCACTATCGCAGTCGTGAGATTAGGATGTTGACACACCTGTCTGGGCTCTTATTACCAGCCTATGCTGTACTCTCTTCATAGTGCAACATTATAATGCTTTAACCGTATCTGTCTCCAATCTTGGAAGCCCCTGACTGACCATGTTACACCCCATCCTTGCCCCCACCCCTGTAGGTGAGCCTGTGCACCCCCAGTGAGAACACGCCCACGGAGAGCCTGGCGCGGCTTGTGAGCATGGTGTTCCAGTGGTTCCACTCCACAGCCTACATGATGGACGACGAGGTGGGCTCCCTGGTGGAGAAGCTCAAGCCCCAGTTTGTCACCAAGTGGCTGAAGACCGTGTGTGACGTGCGCTTCGACGTCATGGTGATGTGCCTGCTGCCCAAACCGGTGGAGTTTGCCAGGGTGAGGAGGAGTGGGGAAGGAGAAGGGGGGTTGGAGGGTAAAGGCGGTTGAGCTTCAGGGAGTGTTTGTGAGGGGTTGTAGGGTGTAATGTTGGGTGTAGGGTAGTATGAGGTTAGGACTGTTTCTCTGGGGACAATGCACACTGGAGGTACAACGTGTGATGGTTGTGTTTCTTGGTGAATATCCCCCATGGTTATACCTGACCTTGTGTATGTGTCTGTGTATCCATATCCCCAGGTGGGGGGTTACTGGGATAAGTCTTGCAGCACGGTGACCCAGCTGAAGGAGGGGCTGAACCGGATCCTGTGCCTGATCCCCTACAATGTGATCAGCCAGCCGCTGTGGGAGTGCTTCATGCCAGAGTGGCTGGAGGCCATCCACACTGAGGTGCCTGACCAGCAGCTCAAGGAGTTCAGAGAAGTGCTCAGGTACTGTATACTGGACCTCCTCCAAGTCACCTAGTTCACTGTACCACCTCAATGGGTTCCTATGGTTACTGATCACGCAGAAATAATTTTCTGTCTTATGAGAAAATAGAATGTTATGTGAAATGTAATGTGACTATGTGTAACACACAGTGAAAATGGTTTCCATTGTCTCACCTGCTAGTGATACACCAAAGAGGATATACCAAATGCTCAGCTCTAAAAGCTTGGAACCTCCCTCCTCTCCCCTCTGTTCCCCCTGCAGCAAGATGTTTGACATTGAGCTGTGCCCTCTGCCCTTCTCCATGGAGGAGATGTTTGGGTTCATTAGCTGCAGGTTCTCAGGCTACCCAGCATCTGTGCAGGAGCAGGCTCTGCTCTGGCTGCATGTAAGTATAAGGCCTGTTGCTGTTTACGAGGATCCATTTCATATTGTCTGGTTGAAATGAAATGAACAGGTTGTCATGATGTGTGAGTGCCTGGGCAGGGGCTGTACTGAATATGGAACTGAGTCACACGGCCAGCATGAGACCGGAGTTCTGAGAGTGAGAGAGGAGGGATTTTGCTTTTGATTCCATATGCACTCACAGCCTGCTGTCCTATATACGTGGAAGGGTTTTCAAGTTTTCTGTCACGACTGTGATAACAGACACCAAAGTAATTCAATCTGACTATATAGGTCACACTCAAAGCAGAAATACAGGAGTCTGTGTAGTGTACTACATTCACATTTTTATCTGCTTATATATGTTTTCTCTTTTACCTCTCTTAATGTCTATGTTGTTTGTTTGTTTGTGTGTTTTATATGTGTGTGTAAACCTGTTTTTGTCATTAATGTGTCTTGTGTTTGGTGTGCATCTTTGTGTGTTCTCTTGTGTGTTTGTGTACCTGTTGGTGTATGTGTGTGTGTGTGTGTGTGTGTGTGTGTGTGTGTCTGGTTGGACACAGGTGTTGTCAGAGCTGGACATTGTGGTGCCTCTGCAGCTGTTAATCGGGATGTTCTCTGACGGGGTGAACTCTGTGAAGGAACTGGCCAATCAGAGAAAGACTCGAGTCTCAGATCTAACTGGCGAAAATACTGAGGCTCGGAGGGTGAGATATCGTACTAGTCATCAACTCCCATGCAAAACCACCTCAATGCCACAGAAATAAGCTATTATCGCTCACATTTCCTCTCTCTGAATAAACAGTAAGAGCAGAACAAATGAGCAGTTACAAATTACAGTTTACATCCACAATCTGAAAATGCTTGTTATCTATCTACCCAGCTAGCACATAATGTTCTGAGAACCCATATGTTTCTTAGAGCTTGGTGAGAGCGTGGTTGTCCTATGGTTATTTTGCATACAACCTTCCCACAACTTTCTGGGAATGGTGCAGGATAGTTGCTTGGCTTTGGAACATTCTCAGCACGTTAAAGGAACTTTACAAAAATACTTTATTTTCTGGGTATTTCATTACTTTAACAGAACGTTTCCTAAAAGTACAAACATGGTTACATTTAATGTAACCAATTTTGGATATGTTCTAGGAACATTCTCCAACTGGTTTGGCATTGGGAATGTTCTCAAATAGTTCAGAGAACGTTAAGAAACAACATTATACTGTGGGAATTTCAATACTTCAGCATAACGTTTTCTGCAGGTTTCCTCATGGTTCTATTTAAAGTAATGTCCTCAGAACATTAAGAAAACTTTCCTTAAAAACCACAAGCAAACCTTAGTAACGTTCAAAGAACATTTTAGTAATGTTATTTAAAAACATACATTCCGTTCTCAGCTTCAACGAAACTCTCTCTATCCTCTATCTTGTTAAGTGTGTTCTGGTGTGTTGGCCACTCCCACTAATTGGCCACACCTGATCTTAATGAGTGCTTGTTTCCTATGAAATGGGGTCCGTTTGAATAGACTAAAATGAACAGCTTTGTATGAGTAAAAAAAAACATGGCTCCATCCTGGTGGCGCAGTGGACTAATTCCATGGATAGAGAACAGAAGATCATAGGTTTAAATGTCACTGACGCCGTGCCACAATAAAAAAGAAATGTGTATGCATGATTAATGCCTAAGCAAATCAATGTCCATGTGTCCTATTTGTGCTTGGAGTTACAGCTAACCTAAGCAAGCAGTGTTATTAAAAGTCATATTGAAACATGTTCTCAGAACGTTATTTAATTACCTTCAAATAACCTATCAAACCTCCCAGGAAAACTTTCAGGGAACCATTGTAAAACGTTCTTAAAAACTCCCTGCAACCTAAAAATATACTTCCCAGAACAGGCAAAATGTTCACTTCCGTTCACAGAACGTTAAAAAACATTCAGTTTTACCGGTCAGGAAACGTATGCCTTCGTTCCCAGAACCAATGGGAAACCAAAAACGTACGTTCCCACAACTTCCAAGGAACCAAATGTGCTAGCTGGGTACCCTCTATTGTAGACCATCCACAGGCATGTGCGTTGCCATGGTAACTGCTGAAGTCTAAATATAGTCCTATTTAAGGGGCTTAATTGAGCTCTGCCATCATTCAGATTTATCAGTGAAAGTTAAAGCCTTTAGCTCATCTATCCCAGTATATTTCTACACCTGAATACACCTCGATAACTTGGAGGGTAGATCTCAGGATAGTATAATTACTGAATACACCTCGATAACTTGGAGGGTAGATCTCAGGACAGTACAATTATGGAACAATGATACGTGTTTGTGTGTTTGTGTGTGTGTGTGTGCATGCATGCGTGCTTGTGTGTCATGTCCCTAGGAAAGCGTGGTTTCAGATCCAGGCCGCCGTGGGCCACACAACACCCTGAGCCCGTTCCCCAGTCCGTTCCGGAGCCCATTCCGGAGCCCCCTGCACTGCAGCCCCTTTAAGAACCTGGGCCATGCTACGGGACACTGTGCCCTGGACCTGGACTGTGACGATGATGACATGAACCTGGGCTGCTTCATCCTCATGTTCGACCTCATCCTCAAACAGGTGGCAAGCCCATACACTGCAGACATGGGTTCAATTATACAGTACAGTTACATTTTACAATACCTAATTGAATACGTCAGAGCCACCAAGTTGAGTTCTGTCCCACTTTCTATTTCTGTAGGTTCTCCTGTTCAACATGTTGTGATGGTTACTTAATAATAATAATAATAATTTAATCCATTTGTAAAGTGCTTTTCATTATACAGAATAATCTCAAAGTGCATAATATATATTTTTTAAACCAAATAGAAATAACATTGACACAACTAGACAGGGCAACTGACACAATAAACCCAGCTGATGCTACAATGTCCTTGTCCAGATGGAGCTCCAGGATGACGGCGTGATGCTCGGTCTGGAAAACAGCCTGGGGAAGGACATTGTGGGCATCATCAACAACATCTTCCAGGCCCCATGGGGGGGCTCCCACACCTGTCAGAAGGACGAGAAGGCCCTGGAGTGCAGCCTGTGCCAGTCCAGCATTTTGTGCTACCAGCTAGGCTGTGAGCTCCTGGAGAGACTCACCCCCAGGGAGGAGATACGGCTGGTGGTGAGACACACATGCACACTCCTGTAAAAACAACATGAAGGATGTTTTGAATTGGTCCAATCGTTTTTCAGTGGTTGGTAATTCTTACTGTATTTGGTTGTCAATAGACATGATTGTGTCTTCCCTATAGGAGCCAACAGACATCTTGGAGGACACATTGCTGTTGCCTCAAGTGTTTGGGCCTGAACAACGGACAAAGCAAGGGACAGAGGAAGCGGACAACCCTGCCAGCACACACACTGACAACCCTACAATTCAAAGTTACTCTCCTGACAACCCACGTATGTATCCATGGCGAACTAAGGCTTGGGTTGGAAGGGTTTTGGTAGGGTACAGAATATCTCAGTATACTGATACAGATCTGATGAAACACAAGCAGAACAATTCTCAGTTGTGTAGGTGTAAACACCTTACCAAAATCTAATCCCAAATGTATTTTATGACATGAAGCCAACGAATGAGAAAAAAATATTTATCTGTAACAGTTCAGAGGCTGCGTGCAACATGAAAAGGAAACACTGCATAGTTTCTCCTCTGCTGAGGAATTCTCTCTTTTACATCAAAGCTTTCTCTCCTACAGCAATGAAGAATAATGCTGATAAGAAGTTTTCCTACCAGCAGCTCCCTGTGTCTCTCAAGCTAATATACACTATTCTGCAGGTACCTGCCAGTCCACCTTTATCCAGTGTTAAGGCATCTTGTAATGTACAGATATAAACTGTCTAAAGAATATAATAGATGCATAATCAAAGACAATAATCTTGTATCCTCATTAGAAAAGACTGAGTGAGCAAAGGAACTGTACCTTTTGTTCCCTTTGTAGGAAATGTCTAAGTTTGAGGAGCCTGATATCCTGTTCAACATGCTGAACTGTCTGAAGATCCTGTGTCTCCATGGAGAGTGTCTGTACCTGGCCTGTAAGGACCACCCCCAGTTTCTGGCCCACATCCAGGAGAAGATGCTAATTCCCAGGTCAGCACAGTCACCATCACCACATGGTGCCTCTCCTGCAGTTTCACACGTAGCTTGTTTGTTTACAGAAATCTCTGCTAGTACTTTCTTTAAACATGCCTTGCGTCATGAGATGTAGCAACTGAAATCGTTGATCACGATCTTGATGTCATTTGTACTTCATCATCAAACACGTGAAGAGCAGCCAGGTATGTGTGTGTGTGTGTCTAATGTGATACCTGTGTGTTGCAGCCTGTGGACCATGCTGAAGTCCGAGTTCTGCCAGCTGGCCTCCCTGGCCGTGCCTCAGCTCCTGCATGCCCTCTCCCTCTCCCACGGAGCAGACATCTTTTGGAACCTGGTGGACAGCAACTTTAACAGCAAGGACTGGAAGATACGCTTCGAAGCAGGTGAATTATATATGAGGCTTCACCTCACGTGTGCGTGTGAGTACTGTATGTGATGATATGAATGAATCATGAGGGGAGGACATCCACCCCTCTCCTATAATCCCCCCCAACAAACCGTTGTCTACAGACATCTCCTCCCTGCATTGCCATGGTTACTACTGTATGTGTCTCCAGCAGGCAGCACAGAGGAATTGTGGGATTATTAATCAGGCCCTTCTCTCCCTGTGATTGGCAGAGAGAAGCAATGTGTGACCTTGAGACAGAGTCAGTGGACAGGGTCTCTGTCTGGTAGCATTCATATACTGTAGACACTGAGGGTAGATAGTTACTTTACATATAGGTTAGGTTAGATTCAAATATTTATTTTGATTTCATTTTTGTAGTTTTATTGTGACATTGTCACAGAGCGCTAATTATAATATAATATCAGTCTGTTACATTCAAATGCAATAATTTAACAGACTCTAACTATAAACAGCATAGAAAGTAGATGTTTATTACATATTGCTTGCAAAGTAACATTACTAATTAACATGAACAATTGCTAAGGGAAATTATGTCATGACTACAGGTTGTGTGCACACGTGAGCCGTAGGATGATGATCATATTAGCTGTTCTGAAACAGATGGTAATTTACTTGTCTGTGTAAATCAACCCAAAAAGACACCAGTTCGGTGCCAAAGCAGTACTATGGCCCACAGGCAATCTGGCTACAATAATGCTGTCTCCCCTCCCTCTACTGCCACACTGCCATCTAGTGACAGGCACTGTACATTAACCATCAGCGTTAGAGTGATGCTGTTTTAACATGATCCTTTGCAGTGTCCTATCAAACTTTATGTGACATGGCGTTGAGATGTTGTCTTGTGCCCTGTCTGTGTTGTCATGGTAACTCCCAGTGGAGAAGGTGGCGGTGCTCTGTTGGTTCCTAGACATTGGTTCTTTGACGAAGAACCATCTGCTGAAGTACTCCCTGGCCCATGCGTTCTGCAGCTTCCTGACCTCTGTAGAGGATGTCAACCCGGCTGTGGCCACACGCGCCAGGCTTCTGCTGGACACCATCAAGAGCCCAGCACTACAGGTGACTAACAGATATCTATCTAGGCTAAGATAAACTGCCATACAACCACTTTTCATGTGACAATTGATCACGTGTATGGAGTCTTTCTTGTCCTGGAGAACAAATTGCTTCGCAGCATGTCAGCAAACCATTTTTTATTGATGAATAGCACAAAAACATGTAAGTGCAGTGCTAACACTTGTGTATTTGTGTGTCTGTGTCTGTGTGTCTGTGTGTTTGTGTGTCTGTGTCTGTGTGTTTGTGTGTCTGTGTCTGTGTGTTTGTATGTCTGTGTCTGTGTATTTGTGTGTCTGCAGGGTTTGTGTCTGTGCCTGGACTTCCAGTTCGACACTGTGGTGAGGGACCGGCCCATCATCCTCAGCAAGCTGCTGATGCTGCACCACTTGAAGCAGGAGGTCCCTGCCCTCAGCTGGGAGTTCTTTGTCAACCGCTTTGAGACGCTCTCCCTGGAGGCCCAGCTCCACCTGGACTGCAACAAGGAGTTCCCTTTCCCAACCAGTACGCCCAGCTGGGGGATTCTCTCAGTTACATAGTCTGCAGAATATAATTTACAGTATGACTAATATTCAATACAACAAACCAACCATGTAGGGAAACATAAACCTGTGAAATAAGAACATTACAGTTCATGTTTGTGTGGTTGAGGTGTGTTAAGTGTTATGAGACACAGGCACAGTGATGTGTGTTATTTATCTTTCCTTCCTTGCCTTTGCCTGTCAGCCATCACAGCTGTGCGCACCAACGTGGCCAACCTTAGTGATGCAGCGATGTGGAAAATCAGACGTGCGCGCTTTGCCAGGAACCGCCAGAAGAGTGTACGTTCCCTCCGTGACAGCGTCAAGGGCCCGTCCACGACCAAGCGAGCCTTCTCCCTCCCAGAGACTCTGTGTAACCGACTACGTGAGTGTCCATCGGTTGGTTAGGCTACTAGTCCGTAGGTCTCAGCTTTTGTCTGTCCCATGCTTCTACTGTTTCTCTCTTCATCAATTCACCTCTCTCTTCTGTTAGTATACCTACAAAATCTGTATTCCTGTTTGTTTCATTCAATTGCATATTTTCTCAGTGATTTGTTCTCTTGCTGGAGGTAAGAGGTTTCTCTTCTCTGTGATTTCCTCATTGACCCTGCACAGGATGCGGTCTGAGTTTCTGGGAGAGGGGGTCTACTGTTGCCTTTAGACTGTGTGTGGTTGTTGAGCTTGAGTAAGCAAGTGGAGGCTAAATTATTAATAGAATAACTCGACAAGTCTCAGCATCCACATACATCTTGGGATCACTTTATGTGAATGGTGTGAGACATTGGGATGTATAGGGTTGTCTGGTGTGAGACATTGGGATGTATAGGGTTGTCTGGTGTGAGACATTGGGATGTATAGGGTTGTCTGGTGTGAGAATTGGGATGTATAGGGTTGTCTGGTGTGAGACATTGGGATGTATAGGGTTGTCTGGTGTGAGACATTGGGATGTATAGGGTTGTCTGGTGTGAGACATTGGGATGTATAGGGTTGTCTGGTGTGAGACATTGGGATGTATAGGGTTGTCTGGTGTGAGACATTGGGATGTATAGGGTTGTCTGGTGTGAGACATTGGATGTATAGGGTTGTCTGGTGTGAGACATTGGGATGTATAGGGTTGTCTGGTGTGAGACATTGGGATGTATAGGGTTGTCTGGTGTGAGACATTGGGATGTATAGGGTTGTCTGGTGTGAGACATTGGGATGTATAGGGTTGTCTGGTGTGAGACATTGGGATGTATAGGGTTGTCTGGTGTGAGACATTGGGATGTATAGGGTTGTCTGGTGTGAGACATTGGGATGTATAGGGTTGTCTGGTGTGAGACATTGGGATGTATAGGGTTGTCTGGTGTGAGACATTGGGATGTATAGGGTTGCCTGGTGTGAGACATTGGGATGTATAGGGTTGTCTGGTGTGAGACATTGGGATGTATAGGGTTGTCTGGTGTGAGACATTGGGATGTATAGGGTTGTCTGGTGTGAGACATTGGGATGTATAGGGTTGTCTGGAAGCTCAGACGTGTCCTGTGCTATCTCCCCAGAACATTCTCCTAAATTGTGTTCTTCATGTGTGGTTTTTAGCTTTAAGGCTTACGAGGCAAGAGCACTCTGCCCCGACTCTGGGAGATATGATAGAGAAAGTCCTGCCAGGTAAATAACAACCCAAATCTAAATACAGAAACAGATCAACATTCCCTTCAGCATAATCACATCATATACAGTGGGGAAAAAAAGTATTTAGTCAGCCACCAATTGTGCAAGTTCTCCCACTTAAAAAGATGAGAGAGGCCTGTAATTTTCATCATAGGTACACGTCAACTATGACAGACAAAATGAGGGGAAAAAAATCCAGAAAATCACATTGTAGGATTTTTTATGAATTTATTTGCAAATTATGGTGGAAAATAAGTATTTGTTCAATAACAAAAGTTTCTCAATACTTTGTTATAAACCCTTTGTTGGCAATGACACAGGTCAAACGTTTTCTGTAAGTCTTCACAAGGTTTTCACACACTGTTGCTGGTATTTTGGCCCATTCCTCCATGCAGATCTCCTCTAGAGCAGTGATGTTTTGGGGCTGTCACTGGGCAACACAGACTTTCAACTTCCCTCCAAAGATTTTCTATGGGGTTGAGATCTGGAGACTGGCTAGGCCACTCCAGGACCTTGAAATGCTTCTTACGAAGCCACTCCTTCGTTGCCCGGGCGGTGTGTTTGGGATCATTGTCATGCTGAAAGACCCAGCCACGTTTCATCTTCAATGCCCTTGCTGATGGAAGGAGGTTTTCACTCAAAATCTCACGATACATGGCCCCATTCATTCTTTCCTTTACACGGATCAGTCGTCCTGGTCCCTTTGCAGAAAAACAGCCCCAAAGCATGATGTTTCCACCCCCATGCTTCACAGTAGGTATGGTGTTCTTTGGATGCAACTCAGCATTCTTTGTCCTCCAAACACGACGAGTTGAGTTTTTACCAAAAAGTTCTATTTTGGTTTCATCTGACCATATGACATTCTCCCAATCCTCTTCTGGATCATCCAAATGCACTCTAGCAAACTTCAGACGGGCCTGGACATGTACTGGCTTAAGCAGGGGGACACGTCTGCACTGCAGGATTTGAGTCCCTGGCGGTGTAGTGTGTTACTGATGGTAGGCTTTGTTACTTTGGTCCCAGCTCTCTGCAGGTCATTCACTAGGTCCCCCCGTGTGGTTCTGGGATTTTTGCTCACCGTTCTTGTGATCATTTTGACCCCACGGGTGAGATCTTGCGTGGAGCCCCAGATCGATTGAGATTATCAGTGGTCTTGTATGTCTTCCATTTCCTAATAATTGCTCCCACAGTTGATTTCTTCAAACCAAGCTGCTTACCTATTGCAGATTCCGTCTTCCCAGCCTGGTGCAGGTCTACAGTTGTGTTTCTGGTGTCCTTTGACAGCTCTTTGGTCTTGGCCATAGTGGAGTTTGGAGTGTGACTGTTTGAGGTTGTGGACAGGTGTCTTTTATACTGATAACAAGTTCAAACAGCTGCCATTAATACAGGTAACGAGTGGAGGACAGAGGAGCCTCTTAAAGAAGAAGTTACAGGTCTGTGAGAGCCAGAAATCTTGCTTGTTTGTAGGTGACCAAATACTTATTTTCCACCATAATTTGCAAATAAATTCATTACAAATCCTACAATGTGATTTTCTGGATTTTTTCTTCTCAATTTGTCTGTCATAGTTGACGTGTACCTATGATGAAAATTACAGGCCTCTCTCATCTTTTTAAGTGGGAGAACTTGCACAATTGGTGGCTGACTAAATACTTTTTTTTCTCACTGTAACTAACTTATGGCTACTGATAAAGTTGATGGGCATCAGGAAACTTGATGAAAAAGCAATGTTTGCTCTTCACTGACATTCATTGCTTTTCATCCAAAATTCATAGATACCCACTGGGCACACACTGGTTGAATCAATGTTGTTCCCACGTCATTTCAATGAAATTACGTTGAACCAATGTGGAATAGACGTTGAACTGACATCTGTGCCCAGTTGGCAGTCCGTTCTTTTTTAGTCTCAAAAACAAATAATGTTGGAATTGGAGAAAACTGTTACTCTTGCTATCTTGATAGCTTGTCACATTTTCTGTTTGCATTTGACATATACCATGAATATGTTAAAGTGATGTCCATATATGTAATCACCTTGCCGAATGTAGACCAAATTAGATGACTGTCGTACCCTCTCCCTCGCTTTGTTCCCCTGCTTCACCGCCCCTCTCCTCTCCATCCGCTCCCCTGCCTGCAGCACGCTTCCTCCCGCCCTTTAACCCTGACGCTTCGGCCCCTTTCCTAGGCCACAGCCCCTCACCGGAGGATGACTCAGTCATCAGGGACCTGCTGCCAGAGGATGCTGGGATAGACCACCAGACGGTGCACCAGCTCATCATGGTGCTCATGAAGTTCATGGCCAAAGACAAGAGCAGTGCCGAGGCAGACATCGGCAGTGCCAAGGCCTTCAACTCGGTGAAGCGCCACCTGTATGTGCTGCTGGGCTATGACCAGCAGGAGGGTTGCTTCATGATCGCACCGCAAAAGATGAGGACCTCCACCTGCTTCAATGCTTTCATCGCTGGCATCGCACAGGTCAGAGGATATCATTAACCCTATAAATGATCGCCGTTAATGCTGTAATAATTCTAACATTAGTTTTAATGACAATCCTTGAATAAATCTAGAGTTTAATCCCGAGAAAAATCCCTGACTCTCACTTGCTTCAGTTGGGAGTAAATGAAAGGTGGGAGTTTTTTCAGTTTGTTTCCCACTGTAAAGTTGAAGTCTTATATTGCTGCTGCTGAATGAGGTGAATTATGACAATCTGTCAAGCATCAAGAAGAACCTAGCGTGACGCGATATCTCCTCCAGGTGATGGACTACAACATTGGGTTGGGGAAGCAGCTGCTCCCCCTGGTGGTCCAGGTGTTGAAGTACTGCACCTGCCCCCAGCTCAGACACTACTTCCAGCAGCCGCCGCGCTGCTCTCTCTGGGCCCTGCAGCCACACATCAGACAGATGTGGCTCAAAGCCCTGCTGGTCATCCTCTACAAGGTACACACTACCCACGGTTGGAATATAATGAAATCTTATCCACTATTTGAATGTGTTTACATTGTAAGCTTTATAGATACAGTGTGTCTATAGTTGATTACCTGTACTTCTGAAAATGTTAGTATTGAGGACAGCTAATTTATACATATTTAAGTTGCATTGTACTCTCTTACCCTTCACTTCTACCGATCCTGTGTGTGGTCCCAGTACCCCTACAGGGACATGGACGTGAGTAAAGGGGTTCTGCACCTGATCCACATCACCATCAACACCCTGAATGCCCAGTACCACAGCTGTAGACCCCATGCCACCGCCGGACCCCTCTACAGTGACAACTCCAACATCAGCCGCTACAACGAGAAAGAGAAAGGTGGGGACAACAGAGATCATCACATGCCTGGACTCTAAATATAGGCTTTTACTTGAAATTAATCAGGAATAAGAATTAAGAGTTTTGGACATACATTACATTTTAGTCATTTAGCAGATGGTCTTATCCAGAGCGACTTACAGTTAGTGCATTTATCTTAAGATAGCTAGGTGGGACAACCACATATAACAGTCATAGTAAGTACATACACGGGGTGGGGGGGTGCTGTGGGATTATTTAAAATACTCTTTGAAGAGGTAAGGTTTCAGATGTTTTTGGAATATGGGCAGGGACTGCTACCCTAGCTTCAAGGGGAAGCTGGTTCCACCATTGGGGTGCCAGGACAAAGAGCTTGGACTGGGCTCCTGTAGGGGTCGGAGGGCCAAGAAACCAGAGTTAGCAGAACGGATTGCTTGGATTGGGGTGTAGGGTTTGAGCATAGCCTGAAGGTAGGGAGGGGCAGTTCCTCTTGCTGCTCCGTAGGCAAGTACCATGGTCTTGTAGTGGATGCGAGCTTCGACTGGAAGCCAGTGGAGTGTGCGGAGGAGTGGGGTGACATGGGAGAACTTGTTAAGGTTGAACACCAGGCGGGCTGCAGCATTCTGGATAAGTTGCAGGGGTTTGATGGCACAAGCGGGGAGCCCAGCCAACAGCGACTTGCAGTAATCCAGATGGGAGATGACAAGTGCCTGGATAAGGACCTGCGCTGCTTCCTGTGTGAGGTAGGGTCATATTCTACGGATGTTGTAGAGCTTGAAGGAGAATATGACGGCGCCAAGTGACTTGGTGTACAGAGAGAAGAGGAGATGGCCTAGAACTGAGCCCTGCGGGACATCAGTAGTGAGATTAAGTGGTGCAGACACAGATCCTCTCCACGTCACCTGGTAGGATCAGCCTGCCAGGTAGGATGCAATACAAGAGTGTGCAGAGCCTGAGACGCCCAGCCCTGAGAGGGTGGAGTGGAGGATCTGATGGTTCACGGTATCAAAGGCAGAGGATAGATCTAGGAGGATGAGAACAGAGGAGAAAGAGTCAGCTTTGGCAGGGCGGAGAGCCCCCGTGATACAGAGTAGAGCAGTCTCAGTTGAGTGACCCGTCTTGAAGCCTGACTGGTTAGGGTCAAGAAGGTCGCTCTGAGAGAGATAGCGAAAGAGTTGGTCAGAGACAGCACGCTCAAGTGTTATGGAAAGAAAAGAAAGAAGGGATACCGGTCTGTAGTTTTTTACCTCAGAGGAGTCGAGTGTTGGTTTCTTGAGGAGGGGAGCGACTCGGGCCATTTTGAAGTCAGAGGGGATGCAGCCAGTGGTCAGGGATGAGTTGATGAGGGAAGTGAGGAATGGGAGAAGGTCTCCAAAGATGATCTGAAGAAGGGAGGAGGGGATGCAGTCGAGCGTGCAGGTTGTCGGGCGGCCGGACTTCACTAGTTGCAGGATGTGAATGAGGAGCGGATTTTGTTAACCTTCTTTTCAAAGTGGTTAACAAAGTCGTCTGCAGGCAGGGAGGGGGAGGGGTGAAGGATTAAGCTTGAAATTTAGAGTGATAGTTTAGTGGCTTTAGCAGCAGACACAGGGGAAGAGAAGGTAGGGAAAAAGGGAATGAAAGGATGATAGGTCCTCCGGAAGTTAATTTTTCCTAACTTTTCGCTCAGCTGCCCGCAGAGTAGGGTCGAAGAGGCAGAATCAGGAGACAGGAGTGAGAAGAATTTATCAGAAGGGAGAGATGATAGAATAGAAGAGGAGAAAGTAGTGGGAGAGAGAAAGCGAAGATTGCGATGGCGCATGACCATCTGGGTAGGGGCTGAGTGGCTAGGGTTGGAGGAAAGGGAGACAGAAAGGGAAACAAAGTAATAATCAGAGACCTGGAGGACAGTTGCAGTGAGATTAGTAGGCAAACAACCTCTAGTAAAGATCAGGTCAAGCATATTTCCTGACTTGTGAGTGGGAGGGGACTGGGAAATGGTGAGGTCAAAAGAGGCAAGGAGGGGAAAGAGGGTTTGAAAGAAATGAATCGAAGGCAGATGTCAGGAGGTTGAAGTCACCAAGTCATCATCAGGAAATGAGTTTATCAAGGTTTCAAGCTCATTGAGGAACTCTCTAAGGACACCTGGTAGGCGGTAGATGACAACAATGTTGAGCTTGAGTGGACAAGTGACAGCATGGAATTCAAATGAGGAGATGGACAGGTGAGAGAGGGGGAAAAGAGAAAATCTCCACTTTGGAGAAATGAGTAGCCCTGTACCACCACCACGACAACCAGATGCTCTTGCACTATGAGAGAAAACGTAGTCAGAGTAAGAGAGAGCAGCTGGAGTAGCAGTGTTCTCTGGGGTGATCCCAGTCTCTGTCAGAGCCCAAAAATACAGATGTAGGATCTTAATTTGACCTATATAATCCTTCAGCAACAGGATTTGAACGTTTAGTCCATAATGTTGCTTGATTGGTGGTTAGGTTATTAGCTGGCCAAACAATTGGCTGCATTAAAAGGGCAATACTGTAAATATAACCGTGTGTTAGTATGGGTTTTCAGTGAATTTATCTAAATCACGAAGCTCATCCGCATTTCCTGCAGTGCAAGTCAATGCTTAGCAACAACAATAGTGATCAAATTAAGATCCTACATCTGTAATGTGTATGTTGTTTTTCTTTCAGAGGAGGACAGTGTGTTTGATGAGTCTGACATCCATGACACCCCAACTGGAGCAGGCAACAAGGAGTCCCAGACCTTCTTCGCCCGTCTGAAAAGGATCGGTGGCAGCAAGTCTGTCAAGTACCAGCCGGTGGAGCTGAATGCCCAGAAAAGTATGAAAATAGTCTCAAAGGATGACCTATTTTATCCAGCAATGAAATTCATTGAACTTAAACGCTTTCGCTGATATGAATTGAGCTTTCACAGATTTTCCCGATCAGATATGATCTATCTTTTGATCCTTTCTCTGTCTGTGTCAGGTGAAATTGAGCTGTCTGAGTACCGCGAGGCCAGTGCCCTGCAGGACAGCATCTTGCACTGTGTGAAGGAGGAGAGCACCAGGAAGAAGCGTCTGCAGGCCATGCACAAGCAGAAGTCCCTGGACATTTCCAACACTGACTCCATCCTCTACAACCTGGACGAGCACCGACGCAAGTCCTGCATAGACCGCTGTGACCTGCAGCATGGTCCCTCCGCACCCCCCTCCTCCACCACCTCCCACCCCAGGCGGACAGGGGGCCATGGGAAGGGCTCGTCAGACGGCTCCTCAGGCCGAGCGGAGGGCAGTGACCACCAGGAACGTTCAGGCTCCCTGAAGGGCCACTCAGACTGCTCCAGGCCTGTCATCCCAGAGGTGCGTCTCAGCTGCATGGAGACTTTTGAGGACAAGGCCGACTTGGACTCCCCTCTTACAGGCGGCTCTTCTGCAGAGAAGGAGGACCAGGACCTCATTGACCTCTCCTCCGACTGCACTTCCATCCCAGAGAAGCACTCCATCCTCTCCATGTCCGACAGCGACTCCCTGGTGTTTGAGCCCCTACCACCACTGAGGATAGTGGAGAGTGACGAGGAGTTTGACCTGAATACGGTGATGGGCCCCAGGTTGAATGGGAGTGCCAGGCCCCCTGCTTCCCCTGCCAGGCCCGCTGTCTCCCCTGCCAGGCCCGCTGCCTCCCCTGCCAGGCCCGCTGTCTCCCCTGCCAAGCCCGCTGCCTCCCCTGCCAGGCCCCCCGCCTCCCCTGCCGGCAGCAGCACCCTGCACCTGTCCGCTATGGTGCAGGTGAGTGTGGAGGACTGCTCTAAGGACAAGAGGACCACAGACTCCCAAGCAAAAGAAAGCCCCCAACAGCCTCTACAGAGGAGGCCACGCTATGCGACCCCCACCACCTCCCTGGAGCTGCCTGACTGGCTGGAGCACCCTGGCCTGGAGAGTCCCATGACCCTCAGCTTACAACAGAAGAGGGACCTGCTGAGGAAGACCCCTGCTGTCCCTGACACCTCCCTGGATGACTTTGTGCACCCTGAGGACCTGAAGGCAGTGGTGGGTCTGGGGACCAGTCCCTCTGGCAGGACGGTCTTCCTGGACATCCCTGAGGACACAGTTGAACCCCTCACCTCTCTGGAGGGGAACAACAACGATGAAGAGGAATATTATGAAGAAGATGATGATGACCTTGATGACAGTGACCTTAAACCTGATGATGATGATAATGATGAAGATGATGATGATGAGAATGAAGAGGCAGAGTTTAAGATCCAGATAGTTCCCCGGCAACGCAAACAGAGGAAGATAGCTGTGAGCGCCATCCAGAGAGAGTACCTGGACATCTCCTTCAACACCCTGGACAAACTGGGTGAGCAGCCCACTGATACAGGTAAGAGAGACCAGGGTCAGGGGAGACAGGAGCCTCAGTCCAGAGAGAGGGGTCCCTCTGTATGGACCTACAGCTGCTGTGCCCCTGAGATAAGTATGCTGACTTCATGCACAATATGTATTTGGATGTATGTGTGTTTCAGTGGTGACATCTCTAAGGTTTGAGGGGGCTTAGGAGATATGACTGATAAAACAAGTTTTCAACTGAAGTGTCTGCTTAGAAGTGCAGAACCACATGAACAAAATATAAATTGTCTAGTCGTATATCCACGCTACCTCCAATCTTTAGTCAACTGGTCACCACTGCTGTCTCCTGTTCTGTGGTGTGGCTTTGTACATGTCTCTCCCTTTCCCCATTCCAACCAATGGTAAACCACTGAAAAGCATACTGTAAAAGAAAGTCCTAGAAACCGATAAGTTAATATCAGTACAGCGCCTTCAAATTACTGCAACACACTTTCCATAAATAGCTGTCCATATAAGAACTAGTAATAGCATAAAATGAGAAGGCAAATTTGTTTTTTACTAAATAGTACTTCAATAAACAATTTTAATTTCTTCAACACATCTTCATTTTAGATTGCTCTTGCACTAGGACTCAATGTATACTTGCAGTTAACTACTTGTAGCTCTACACTACATTTGTATTGGCGTTGGGTGTCTGCAGCATCCCATGCTCTAAACAGTTGTCTACATGTGAGGTAATAAGGTGGCTGAGATGCTGAAGCAGCCACTATTCCGCCCCATCACTCACCCACATTGCCTTACAGATCACAAAGTTCTGTCTACCCTGGAAAAGCCACGGGAATCCGCCTCAGCCCCCACCCTCGAAGCTGCTATCCCAGAAACAAGCAACCGCTCTTCAGTATCAAGTAGGATCCAAATACTTCCACATTGTCATGTGTTTAAATCACCAATAAAACCGGGTGTGGTCATTACACCAAGAACATTACACTGTTCAAACATTTGGCCTTGGTTTTTTCAAGGTGTAAAATACTTTTTCTTGAGTCGTTCTTTCTCAGCGTTTTGTTTTAGACACCAGTGCAGTTTTTTCATGGTTATTTTATTTTTCTTATCAATAGATCAGGATTCTATCTATCCGACGATATATATACATTCATGAATATACGCAACTAAGCCATTCAATCATTTCATTTGTATATTTACCTCTGTGAGTGTCTTCTACTCCCCATTTTCCTGACAGTTGCTTTAAAGGGCAATTCCACCACTTTTCAACCTCATATTCATTATCTCCAGCACCAAATCAGTGTCTACATACTGTATGTGAAAACAGCACATTTCTATGATCTGTGGTTAAAAAGATAAGAAGAAAGGTCCTAAAAAAATGCTTCTCTGTGACATCACAGGGTAGGATTAAAAGTAAAAAACTGTGATTTTCAAAACCTGCAACGAGTTTCTAGCCCAAGGGAGAAATGCACCGTTTTCACATACAGTGGCTTGCGAAAGTATTCACCCCCCTTGGCATTTTTCCTATTTTGTTGCCTTACAACCTGGAATTAAAATTGATTTTTTGGGGGTTTGTATCATTTGATTTACACAAGATGCCTACCACTTTGAAGATGCCAAATATTTTTTTGGGTGAAACAAACAAGAAATAAGACAAAAAAACACAAAACTTGAGCGTGCATTACTATTCACCACCCCAAAGTCAATACTTTGTAGAGCCACTTTTTGCAGCAATTACAGCTGCAAGTCTCTTGGCACATCTAGCCACTGGGATTTTTGCCCATTCTTCAAGGCAAAACTGCTCCAGCTCCTTCAAGTTGGATGGGTTCTGCTGGTGTACAGCACTCACAAGTCATACCACAGATTCTCAATTGGATTGAGGTCTGGGCTTTGACTAGGCCATTCCAAGACATTTAAATGTTTCCCCTTAAACCACTCGAGTGTTGCTTTAGCAGTATACTTAGGATCATTGTCCTACTGGAAGGTGAACCTCTGTCCCAGTCTCAAATCAAAGACTGAAACAGCTTTCCCTCAAGAATTTCCCTGTATTTAGCGCCATCCATCATTCCTTCAATTCTGACCAGTTTCCCAGTCACTGCTGATGAAAAACATCCCCACAGCATGATGCTGCCACCACCATGCTTCACTGTGGGGGGATGGTGTTCTCGGGGTGATGAGAGATGTTGGGTTGCGCCAGACGTTTTCCTTGATGGCTAAAAAGCTAAATTTTAGTCTCATCTGACCAGAGTACCTTCTTCCATATGTTTGGGGAGTCTCCCACATGCCTTTTGGCGAACACCAAACGTGTTTGCTTATTTTTTTCTTGAAGCAATGGCTTTTTTCTGGCCACTCTTCCGTAAAGCCCAGCTCTGTGGAGTGTATGGCTTAAAGTGGTCCTATGGACAGATACTCCAATCTCCGCTGTGGAGCTTTGCAGCTCCTTCAGGGGTATCTTTGGTCTCTTTGTTGCCTCTTTGATTAATGCCCTCCTTGCCTGGTCCGTGAGTTTTGGTTGGCGGCCCTCTCTTGGCAGGTTTGTTGTGGTGCCATATTCTTAAAATGTTTTAATAAAGGATTAAATGGTGCTCTGTGGGATGTTCAAAGTTTCTGATATTTTTTTATAACCCAACCCTGATCTGTACCTCTCCACAACTTTGTCCCTGACCTGTTTGGAGAGCTCCTTGGTCTTCATGGTGCCGCTTGCTTGGTTGTGCACCTTGCCTAGTGGTGTTGCAGACTCTGGGGCCTTTCAGAACAGGCGTATATATACTGAGATCATGTGACACTTAGATTGCACACAGGTGGACTTTATTTAACAAATTATGTGACTTCTGAAGGTAAATTGGTTGCACCAGATCTTATTTAGGGGCTTCATAGCAAAGGGGGTGAATACATATGCACGCACCACTTTTCCGTTATTTATTTTTTAGAATTGTTTGAAACACGTTTTAGTTTCATTTCACTTCACCAATTTGGACTATTTTGTGTACATTCATTACATGAAATCCAAATACAAATCCATTTAAATTACAGGTTGTAATGCAACAAAATAGGAAAAACGCGAATGGGGATGAATACTTTTGCAAGGCACTGTATGTTGGCACTGGCATTGCCCTTGAGATAATGAAAATGAGGTTGAAAAGTGGTGGAGTTGCCCTTTATGTAAACCAGACATTGAAATTAAAATAGTGGAGATAGTGGGAAAGTACCAGGCAGCTCAATCCTTTGTGTGTGTGTGTTTGTCGCACCCCCAGCTCAGTACCGTCAGGCAAAGCGAGGCTCGTTGGGAGCTCTAACCATGAGCCAACTGATGAAAAGACAGCTGGAGCACCAGTCCAGTGCCCCTCACAACATCAGCACCTGGGAGACAGGTCAGTCACTGCTAACTATCTCTGGTCCACCTCTCCAGAGAGAAAAACATCAAAACACCTTTTTAATGACTGTGCTTGATTGGGTTTAGCTGTGCTGATTTTATTGTACTCTCTACACAGGCCCCACCAAGACCAGCCTTCTATCTGCCCCCAGTACAGTCAGCATGTTTGTGCCCGCCCCTGAGGAGTTCATTGATGACCAGCCCACCACCATGACTGACAGGTGAGGGAACCTACCGCCAACCACCAACACTGACTGGTGTGTCATTCAGGATAGCAGACACTATGCATGAATGATTATTTAGTGTTGTTAATGATAATACTGTGTGGTCTCTCAGGTGTCGTGACTGTGGTGCGGTGCTAGAGGAGTATGATGAGGAGACCCTGGGCCTGGCAGTGGTGGTGCTCTCCATGTTCATCCACCTCAGCCCTGACCAGGCCGCTCCACTGCTGCTGGACATCATGCAGTCTGTGGGCAGGTCTGGCAACTACAGCAGCTCCTGCACCAACCCCCTTATACAGTACATCCACATACACAAACCTGATTGTTCAGTAACATTTTAGCACACTCTCTGTCATGTCTCCGATGTTAAATTCAGATTTGTGTCTTTCAGGCTGGCGTCTAGTGCTAATTTCTCTGGGCAAGCTGAGAGGTATGACACATCACAAGCAGATATACTAAATATATTATTATATTGTGTGTGCTAAACTCAGGTGTACTGTGGATGCTGATGACTTGTTCACACTGGCTGTATTCTTGTACACAAATGAGAGAATATGCCAACATGAGGTGCAGACGTTCTACGTGTGTTGATGTCTCTGTTGGTGTAGTATGCTGATCCCTGGCAACGCAGCAGGTGTGGCTAAGCAGTTCCTCCGCTGTGTGATCCACCAGCTGGCCCCCAACGGCATCCTGCCCCAACTCTTCCAGAGCAACATCAAAGGTCTACTCATACACACAAAACACAATATGTCTCCTGTTAGGAGCAGCTTTGAGGAATATGGTTGGATCTTTACCATCATTCTTTTCTGTGCATTTTTAGATGGAGGTTTTCTGAGAACATTGGCTTTTTCCCTGATTGATTTTAATGAACTGAGTTCTGTGGCTGCACTGAACCAGCTGCTGGAGGTGGGACGTTTTCTTGCTTAGTGTAATGATTAAATCTCAGTACTTGGCTGAAGGAACTATGCGGGTGTGTGCTTGTGTATGGGCTTGATTCAATCAGTAACGCAGAAGATGAGCGTTATAGAGCGATTGACATTAAAGGCAATGTTTTCACATTCGCGGAGACTGCATTCACAGTAAATGCTGCATATGTCAGCTCAATCGGAAATTACCTTTACATTTAAACCACACTACAAAGCAGATCTTCCAGATCTTCAGTGCTATGAATTGAATCGTGCCCTCTGTCTTGAATCTCAAGCAGAATCTCCACTGTCATCATGTATCCAGTAGGAGGAGCTCTTGTAAAAGTTGACAAGACTAACACTGCTGGTTGGATAGTACCAAAGCAGATTAAGAATACTGCTAAAGAGCATGCCTCTGCATGGTTATTCACAATATTTACTGTTCACTATTACCTTGGTTTGTTTTCTTTAGCAATCTTACACTGTTACAATGTTAAAGTAATAGCACTTATGATAGTCTCAGTTCACTCCTTTGGCTCATAACAATCACTAGTCCAAACCACTTTTAGAATATATTTTTTAACAATTGATAATGTAACAGTTGGTAATGGCTCTATGGCAATACATTGTAACCCTGTTATCATTTATGCCACTGTCCTCAGGGTCTGAACAACAAGAAGAGTCTACCAGCAGGGGGCACCATGCTGCACTGCCTGGAGAACGTCGCCACCTTCATGGAGGCCCTGCCCATGGACTCCCCCAGCAACCTGTGGACCACCATCTGCAATCAGTTCCAGACCTTCCTCACTAAACTACCCTCAGTGCTGCCTCTGAAGGTACTGGACCTCGCTCTGCATTTAGGCTGCATTGACAGTTTTTTGACTGTGATCCATATAGAGCTGAATTTGATGATGTCTCTCTCAGTGTCCCCTGGACTCCAGTTTGAGGATCATCATTTGCCTGTTGAAGATCCCCACCACAAGTGCAACCCGGGTGAGTCTGTGTGTGCTTGATATACATTAGGATTACTAACCAAATGGTGAGGTTAGTCTTCATTTGAGTGTCATAAATAACACTATCCCAGGCCCTGAGCAGGTTATGATTGGTTACATTCTGACTCTTTGAATAAAATGACTTAGACCTGATAGCATTCAGGTATGTCAGATCAGAGGAAGGTCAGAAAAATTGCCAAAAGACTGTTCACTCTGCTACCGTCTGGCAAACATTACCGGAGCATTGGCTCTCTGACAAACAGGCTCCGAGACGCCTTCTACCGCCAAACCATAAGAGTGCTAAATAGCCATAAATAGTTTAATTAATGGTTACCCGGACTATCTTGAACTGACTCAATGCACACTCACAAGACTATATACACACACACACACACACACATTCACTACATTACACACACACACGCATACCGACACAACACACACTCTTATTATTCTTATTATTATCATCTATTCTAATGCCTAGTCACTTTACCCTGCATTCATGTTCATACAGTATCTACCTCACATTCCTCCACATTGATATGGTGCTGGTACTGCCTGTATATAGCTCCATTGAGTATTTTATTCCTCGTGTTACTATTTTCTTATAATATTTTTTTTCACTCCGCATCGTTGGGAAGGGCTCTTCAGCAAGAATTTCACGGTTACGTCTAAACCAGTTGTATTCGGCGCCTGTGACAAACATTTTGATTTGAGATCTTGTTCAGTGAACAGCTCATTCACATTGACTGTCATTTGCATGACTGAACCCACAAGTCTTACTCATTTGGAATAAGCAGAAAATATTACAAAATCACTGGTGTGGTACGATCCCCTCACCCACCCACCAGGCATTGACCCTTAACTCCCTCTCTTCCTCAGAGCTTACTGGAGCCCTTCTCCAAACTGCTGAGCTTTGTCATCCAGTATGGAGTGTTCAGCCTCTCTTACCTGGTGGAGCTGTGTGGCCTCTGCTACAAAGCCTTCAATAAGGTAAGAAGATATGTACAGGTTAGCTTACATTTGATATTAGTATATTTGTTTATTATGTTTGTTGTAAAGAATTATAAAAATAATTGGTACAGATGTAGGATTTTATTTGATCACTCTTTTGCTGAGAAATTCAAACTTGTAGTGTATTCAAGGTTTAAAAAGGCATCTAAAGTTTGTAATTTCCACTTCAGTTTCTCAATTGCTTGAGCACATTTGTCCAAACAGAATTCACTTTTTCAAAACAATTAACACGCAGCCCCAAACAGAAACGTTAGCCACAATGACACATTTCATTTGCAAAATGTATTAAGACTCAAAACATTAAATACATGACACAAAATCAACTACCTACATAAAAACATATAACTTGTTATCTAATGAAATCTTATTTCAGTCAATAGTTACACAATGGCCCAATAAATACTAACTACAACTATCAATATACCCTACCATGGTGTTAACCATCTTTATGTCTGGGCCATTTGTTGATACTATAATTATAGTATGCACTATAAAAGGAAAGTGAACATATCACACCAATGGCTGTATTCTTTTTTCCTAAAATTATTTTACCAAAGATGCCCATGCAGAAAGAATGTCACTCAAGAGCATGAATATCCAGAAACAAAAGGCTTTATTTTACCTTTTTCCATTTTAACTGAGAGCTGAACTATCTTCCTCTATGGGCCCCTCTAAATCTCCTTTGTCTTTGCCCTCGGCCTCTTACTTGGTCCATTCTTACAAATAGCAACTCAGAAGTGACCTCTTTTATGCATGAATAAGGACTGATTGCTGATTGAACAATTGTGCTTTACTGTTTTGCAAAAATGTGCTTAGCATTTGCATTGTGTGTGAAAGCAATGAGAAATTACAGTTTTGAAAAACATGATACTGTTGTGCTCATTAGGTTATGATGGAAAGCATGTGGACCCCAGTTTAAATAAAAGTGTCTTAGCAATCGAGAAACTGTAAAATGATTTGCCCTAATGAAAAATGTATAAACCCTTAAAAAAACATTATAATCCGCATAATAATTGACATTTCCTGTTGCTGCAGGATTATTTTCCTGCTGTAGCAAACTGGTTCAAATTGAAATCCTACATCTGTAGCATAGCAATGATCTCATGTGAAAGGCCCAATTAGAAAAGCGATACAGAAATATAATTTTCCCACATTGTTAAATATAAAACCATGTCTGCAGACCTTTGTATACAGTAGTTATTGGTGATAATACTTATCCCCAGCCTATCCCGCTAGACAGCAAGGAGGCTGTGAGTCACAGATGAATAAGTAGGCAATCAGCCAGTATTGATTTACATGATTAATTGAGGCTCTGGGCTGAGGATGTATGGTGTGTATCTGAGGGCAAGCCTCCCTTCGTTAGAGCTGGTGCCTGGGCTGTCTCCTGCTGCAGGACGGATGGATCCTCACCCCGCTACTGCTGTCACAGCACCATGCTTTATGTCTCCTGCTCTATTGATTTCCTCTAGCCTTTTTAATCCCTGCTATATAACATCCGTTCCTCAAAATGCGAGTCAACATGACTGATAATGTCTATTTAACTGTTTCCTGTGCATTTAGTCTTACGAGGTGAGCTTTCTCAAATACAAGTTTAAGGAGGATTCTTCAGTGGGTTGTTGTAGACATATGGATGTTTGGGAAATTATGTTTATCACTAATGCACTAGACATTGAACATTTTAACAAATGTGATCCCAAATCAACTGTACTGTATGTATTGGAGTTTCATGCTGATGAGAAGGCAATTATTTATTTTGTAATATACACTATCTATACAAAAGTATGTGGACACCCCTTCAAATTAGTGGATTTGGCTATTTCAGCCACACCCGTTGCTGACAGTTGTATAAAATTGAGCACACAGCCATGCAATCTCCATAGACAAACATTGGCAGTAGAATTACCTTACTGAAGAGCTCAGTGACTTTCAATGTGGCACCGTCATAGGATGCCACCTTTCCAACAAGTGAGTTCATCAAATTTCTGCCGTTATTTTGAAGTGAAAACGTCTAGGAGCAACAACGGCTCAGCCACAAAATGGTAGGCCACACAAGCTCACAGAACGGGACCCCCAAGTGCTGAAGCGCATAGCATGTAAAAATCATCTGTCCTCGGTTGCAACACTCACTACAGAGTTCCAAACTGCCTCTGGAAGCAACGTCAACAAAACAACTGTTCGTCAGGAGCTTCATGAAAGGTTTTTCCTGTTTCAGCATGATAATGCCCCTGTGCACAAAGCGAGGTCCATACAGAAATGGTTTGTCGAGATCGGTGTGGAAGAACTTAACTTGCCTGCAGAAAGCCCTGACCTCAACCCCGTCGAACACCTTTGGGATAAATTGGAATGCCGACTGCGAGCCAGGCCTAATCGCCCAACATCAGTGCCCGACCTCACTAATGCTCTTGTGGCTGAATGGAAGCAAGTCCCTGCAGCAATGTTTCAACATCTAGTGGAAAGCCTTCCCAAAAGAGTGGAGGCTGTTATAGCAGCAAAGGGGCGACCAACTCCATATTAATGCCCATGATTTTGGAATGAGATGTTCGACAAGCAGGTGTCCACATACTTTTGGTCATGTAGTGTATGAACCAATATGTACCACTACCAACGTGTATAATAAGGTAACTGCTGTATGCTATGCCCTAAGTGAGAGTGAGAGAGTGAGAGAGTGAGAGAGTGAGAGAGAGAGAGAGAGAGAGACAGAGAGAGAGAGAGAGAGAGAGAGAGAGAGAGAGAGAGAGAGAGAGAGAGAGAGAGAGAGAGAGAGAGAGAGAGAGAGAGAGAGAGAGATATTGAGTGGATGATTTAACAGAGAGAGCTGTGGCTTCTCAGGCTGACAGGCTCATTTGAACTGGATCTCTGGGAGAGAGGAGATCTGGACTGGGTGCCATGCTAATAAGCTTCTCTGTCTTTATTCAGACCACAGACAGCCTTTATACTCCAGTACACACAGGCAACACTGTATGATCACTGGAGAGGCAGAGAGATATAGTGCACAGCCCTGTAATATTAAATAAGACAACCACTTGGCAAACATTCTTCCCCCAGTATGCCTAAGAGCTTATCTCACTTGGTTCCTCTAAAATGTATTACAACATTTGTACACAGTTGTTTTCTATATTCTCTCTCCACTGTCCTCATTTCCTCTATCCTGAGCTATTTTGTGTGTTTATTTGCCCAGGAGAGAGATAAGTTCTATATGTCTCGTATTGTGGTGCTGGAGCTTCTGCAGGCTCTGAAGTTCAAGTCTCCTCTACCCGATACTAACCTGCTACTGCTGGTCCAGGTAAACAGTAGTACAATCAAATCTACTTGTGGAAAAGACTTAAACCCCAAAGTACCCAAGATGACTTCGCATATTTATTTATGTTAACTACATCCTATGTGTGTATGTTGTCAGTTTGTTTGTTCAGATATTGGTACGAGGCTAGCAGAGTCTACTATTCTATCAAAGCACATGATCTCATCACTTCCAGGGGTAAGACAGTACAGTACATCATACATTACATTGGTTCTCTGGGTCCCTTTATGATGACCTAATGAAACCAAATGAGATACAGATATTTGCCATTTGATTGTTGCACTATTCTCTCTCTTTTTCAGTGCACGACAGCAGCAATGGAATGCATGAGGCAATACATCAGTGAACTTCTAGACTTCATAGCGGATATGCACACACTGACCAAACTAAAAGTGAGTTTCCTCTTTACTCTGCCTTAACTCATTCACCTATCTTACATAGGTCCCACCTCTAGCCATCTTGTCATGTGGGTGGGTGCTTATATTTGTCCTATTTCACACATGTACAGGTCTGTATTATATGCAGGTGTGAATTGGGAAAATGTTTGCATATCCGAACTCTCCCTGAGACACCCTCGGAGAGTGGGGTCACTGCCAGGACCTAGTCATGTGACCTACCCTGTGATCATGTGACACTCTCTCTCTCTCCAGAGCCATATGAAGGCGTGTTGTCAGCCGCTGCACGAGGACACGTTCGGAGGGAACCTGAAAGTGGGCCTCGCACAGATAGCTGCTATGGAGATCAGCAAAGGCAATCACCGTGACAACAAGGCAGTGATCCGTTATCTTCCCTGGCTCTACCATCCCCCGTCTGCCATGCAGCAGGGGTGAGAGGCACCGACAGTTACAGCACAGATGTCACTTTCAGTGATCTCACTATTTATAACCATGAAGATAGAACTATATGTCATAAATGGTGTAGCAGACTTGACCAGTTAGATTTCTGTAGTTTTTCACTAGAAGTGCTTCTATACGGCATGAGAATAAATTGTGAGTCTAATAAGACTGTAATGTATGTTCAAAAAGCGTTTAACCTCTGTCCTCTCCCTAGTCCTAAGGAGTTCATTGAGTGTGTGTCCCACATCCGCCAGCTGTCCTGGCTGCTCCTGGGCTCGCTGACCCACTATGCCCTGCACCAGGGCTCCACCTGCTGTATGCCCATCCCCCTGGACGCTGGCTCACACATTGCTGACCACCTCATCGTCATCCTCATCGGCTTCCCTGAACAATCCAAGGTCTGGACAATGTCTAAATGTTAAATGCATAAATGTTGAAGTAAATGCTACGTAAACTTCTGAAGATTTTATTTATCCTCCCTCAACCAAAGTCTAGGATGAGATAAAGACCAAAGTGTCTCTTCCTTCCCTCCTCTGTCTGCAGACGTCAGTGCTGCACATGTGCTCCCTGTTCCATGCCTTCATGTTTGCGCAGCTGTGGACCATTTACTGTGAGCAGTCGGCGGCCACTCCGGCCCTGCAGAACCAGAATCAGACAGAGTTCTCCTCCAACGCCATCCTGACCGGCCTGGAGTTCTGGAGCCGTGTTACACCCAGCATCTTGCAGCTCATGGCCCACAACAAAGTGGTGAGGAAGATCCACACGCGTATCTGTCAGCTGCTAGAGGGGTGTGCTGGAAAGAGGATGTGCTTGGAGATATGTGCAACAGTTGAATATGAAACGTAGGGCCTACCGAGTGGCGCAGCGGTCTAAGGCACTGCATCGCAGTGTTGCGGCGTCACTACAGATCTGGGTTCGATCCCGGGCTGTGTCGCAGCCGGCCGCGACCGGGAGACCCATGAGGCGGTGCACAATTGGCCCAGTGTCGTCCGGGTTAGGGGAGGGTTTGGCCGGCCGGAATGCCCTTGTCCCATCGTGCTCTAGCGACTCCTTTGGCGGGCTGGGCGCATGCACGCTGACACGGTCGCTAGTTGTACGGTGTTTCCTCCAACACATTGGTACAGCTGGCTTCTGGGTTAAGCGAGCAGTGTGTCAAGAAGCCTTGGCTTGGCAGGACATTGCTGTTATGTAAGGCCGGGATTCAATCCGATCGCGCTTTGTCCACAATGCATGTTTTAAAGGCAATGTTCCTGCGTTCGCGGAGACCACATTCACGGTAAATGTCGGCCCAATCGGAAATAACCTTTAAAGCATTGTCCAAATACGCAGTCGGATTGAATCCCAGCCTAAGAATCTGCTTTGCTACGATATATTTTTATTGATATTTGGAAGCAGGGTGATCATAAATCATGTGCAGTAATACAAATGTGTTCTTTGTAACTTTCCAAGATGGTGGAGATGGTGTGTCTACATGTCATTAGCCTGATGGAGGCTCTACAAGAATGCAACTCAACCATCTTTGTGAAGGTAAGGGGGGCATTTCCCCAAATTTTCCCCAAACATTTGATTTTACACTTTATTTTGCCTCTTCATGTTGCTTTCTATTTCAACTCAAAATTCCCCTCTTCTCTCCATCAGTTAATACCTATGTGGTTGCCCATGATTCAATCTAACCTAAAGGTAAGAGTTAAATTGCAATTCAAATATGACTTGTATTATGTTTATATATGGATATAGATGCTCAGATTTTCTTCAGAACAAAAAACTCTCAACCTGTCCCATGCAGCACCTGTCTGCAGGGCTACAGCTGCGGCTGCAGGCCATCCAGAACAGAGTGAACCACCAGTGTCTGCAGGGCCAGGCGGCCGGGGCCCTGCCCTTCGCCCTGCGCAAGTGGCTGCAGTGCACCCAGTTCAAGATGGCCCAGGTGGAGATCCAATCATCCGAGGCTGCCTCGCAGTTCTACCCCATGTGACCTGCCTACCTCTCAGTATGGGAGATCATCCGAGACCCAGTCCTCCTCAGGACCAGCATGCATCTGTCTGCTGCCTGCCTGTCCATAAACATCAGGAAGTTGACTCCTGCATAAACTGACTCTTGCCGTCTTAAGACTCTGCGTCTGACGTAATCATCTTCAGCACCTTCTAAACTTTGTATATCTATACTACTCTTTCGTGCAATGAAAGGATAGGTAAGTACAGGTTGGGCAGGTGTGCAGATGCAAGGGGATCACAGTACTGTAGATAACAGCATAGGTGTCCAACATGCTGTGTGCCGCATCAGAGGTCAGAACAGATGGAGAGAATATCTATCAGCAGATGATAGAGTGGAAGAGTCTGGATGAGGAATGCTGAAGCTCAGACTTGTTCACTTGGTGATGCTCATGGTCTATAGCGTTATGTTCAGTTGCTTGGATGCAAGCCTGATAAAAATAATAAAATCAAGCCACATTTTCTAAATATATGTCTATCTTGTTGTCTCTGTCATTTCTACAGAGAGCAGTTAAAAGTGCACAAAGTGTGATATGATTGTACATCTGCACAGTAACTACTACAGTATACAGTGGGGGAAAAAAGTATTTAGTCAGCCACCAATTGTGCAAGTTCTCCCACTTAAAAAGATGAGAGAGGCCTGTAATTTTCATCATAGGTACACGTCAACTATGACAGACAATATGAGAAAAAAATTTCCAGAAAATCTCATTGTAGGATTTTTTATGAATGTATTTGCTAATTATGGTGGGAAATAAGTATTTGGTCAATAACTAAGGTTTCTCAATACTTTGTTATATACCCTTTGTTGGCAATGACACAGGTCAAAGGTTTTCTGTAAGTCTTCACAAGGTTTTCACACACTGTTGCTGGTATTTTGGCCCATTCCTCCATGCAGATCTCCTCTAGAGCAGTGATGTTTTGGGGCTGTCGCTGGGCAACACAGACTTTCAACTCCCTCCAAAGATTTTCTATGGGGTTGAGATCTGGAGACTGGCTAGGCCACTCCAGGACCTTGAAATGCTTCTTACGAAGCCACTCCTTCGTTGCTCGGGATCATTGTCATGCTGAAAGACCCAGCCACGTTTCATCTTCAATGCCCTTGTTGATGGAAGGAGGTTTTCACTCAAAATCTCACGATACATGGCCCCATTCATTCTTTCCTTTACACGGATCAGTCGTCCTGGTCCCTTTGCAGAAAAACAGCCCCAAAGCATGATGTTTCCACCCCCATGCTTCACAGTAGGTATGGTGTTCTTTGGATGCAACTCAGCATTCTTTGTCCTCCAAACACGACGAGTTTAGTTTTTACCAAAAAGTTATATTTTGGTTTCATCTGACCATATGACATTCTCCCAATCCTCTTCTGGATCATCCAAATGCACTCTAGCAAACTTCAGACGGGCCTGGACATGTACTGGATTAAGCAGGGGGACACGTCTGGCACTGCAGGATTTGAGTCCCTGGCGGCGTAGTGTGTTACTGATGGTAGGCTTTGTTACTTTGGTCCCAGCTCTCTGCAGGTCCCCCCGTGTGGTTCTGGGATTTTTGCTCACCGTTCTTGTGATCATTTTGATCCCACGGGGTGAGATCTTGCGTGGAGCCCCAGATCGAGGGAGATTATCAGTGGTCTTGTATGTCTTCCATTTCCTAATAATTGCTCCCACAGTTGATTTCTTCAAACCAAGCTGCTTACCTATTGCTGATTCAGTCTTCCCAGCCTGGTGCAGGTCTACAATTTTGTTTCTGGTGTCCTTTGACAGCTCTTTGGTCTTGGCCATAGTGGAGTTTGGAGTGTGACTGTTTGAGGTTGTGGACAGGTGTCTTTTATACTGATAACAAGTTCAAACAGGTGCCATTAATACAGGTAATGAGTGGAGGACATAGGAGCCTCTTAAAGAAGAAGTTACAGGTCTGTGAGAGCCAGAAATCTTGCTTGTTTGTAGGTGACCAAATACTTATTTTCCACCATCATTTGCAAATAAATTCATTAAAAATCCTACAATGTGATTTTCTGGATTTTTTTTCCTCAATTTGTTTGTCATAGTTGACGTAGGTGAAAATGACAGGCCTCTCTCATCTTTTTAAGTGGGAGAACTTGCACAATTGGTGGCTGACTAAATACTTTTTTTCCCCACTGTATCTTAACTAAGGTTTATGGGAAAACTAAATGACTGCAAGAGGATATGTTAAACCCAAAGACTGTATAGGAACCACCCATATCCTAGCTCAGAACAAACCAATAGCAATCATACTGTATATCTTATCAGTAAATCTAATTAGACTTTAGGGCTCCCGTCTCACCTCTCCCTCTGCTCAGTTCAAACAGGTTGCCTCTCGCCATCAGAGCCCAGATCAATCAGACACAATGTGGGTTGCAGTAGCAACAGCGTTGTAACTTGATCAGGATGAAACCAGACAGCGGAGGTAAACAAGACAAGGTAGTCCGTGTTGACCGCCCCCTGTAGAGCCTAGCCATCATTTGCCACAGACACGGACTAAACACAATTACCTCTGGTCTAATGTTGTTTGTCATGATCCATAATCACATTATGGAAAGGGCACTTGTATGGGAATACCATGTCACATGACAGCTGGACTATACTGTATATTTAAATCCAAGCTTGATCTCACTCACTTTTTTTCTCTACATTGTTCGCCTTTATTTTAAAGTTTAATTAAAAAGCTATTAGATACCGTGGTTACATTAGCAAATGTAAAGTAGTCAGTTGTCGTCGGAAACAAAAGGAAAACAAGCAGGGTAGAATTAGATGAGTCCTGTAGAATTTATAATATTTCATAACTTCTCTACGCCTGTACTTTGTAAAGGGATCCTCTATAATATGAGAGGCGTGTGTCAAATGAGTCACCAGCTTTGAGTGCTGTCTGATGATATCACACACACACTGGTGACTCCATCCCATCAATCTCTGGGCTTTGCTCATCAAATAGCCACTCTGTAACAGTGTTCCTATGTGTGTGTGTGTGTGTGTGTGTGTGTTTAATCAACTGAAGTCCCCTTGCACCGGGGCTGCATCTGCCAGCCGTCGCCACCGTCATGATCGTTTGAACTTGCAACTCTTTTTTAAAGAACCTCTCTCATTAGCAGCTGCTTATGTAATCAACGTCCCACAGGTACCCAGTACTCTCCCTGCCACGGCCTGCCTGCCTACCTCCTCCTGGAGGACCATATGGGAGCACTGACCTGATGAGCAGGCAGCCGGAGATCTAGTAGGTAATTAATGCTGACCAAGGTCTCTCAGGCAGAGAGTGTCCTCGGAGCAAGCAGCCCTAGATTGTGAAGGTCATCTTTGAGACACACACACACAGCAGCATGGACATGCATGGATTTTCCCTGATTAAAAGGGTAGCCTGTTTACTGCTCGACAGCAAACAGTTCAGCCTTGAGCTAACAGCCACAAACAAGAGACACACAGAAGCACTCACTGGATGTCTAATAAGTATATACTCATATAACCAATAGTGCAAGTGGCCTCTGATTGGTCATAATCAATCAATAGCGCATAAGCAGCCTAAACTGTAAAGAATGGATCGAATTTGCTGCTAAACAAATAACCGAGGTGATTATTTTCCCATTTACCCTGGTGAAATACATTGTCTTTTATCTGGGCGAACCACACAGAGCTTGTTGAGATAGAGAGGATCCCTGGCCTTCCTCTTCAGGCCTGTCAGATCTTCTTTATTACAGAGCAACTCAGAGTGCCCTGGCTGGACAATGCATGAATGTTTAAATTGCCCAGAGTGTCCAATGGCATTATCATCAAGTGGCACATCTAAAGCAGGAGAAGGCAGACTACTGTATGGTCTCTCATTCACATTCCTCTGGCTCTGTTGTGCCCTCCCTCCCTCACTCCCTCTCTACATGGCTCAGCTTGGACCCTGATGGATTTCTCCCCCTCTGAAGTAGTTGTGTTTCAAATGGTCTCCCCTTTTAAAGGAGAAAAATGCTCAAGAATATGGACTAATTAATTCCTTGATGACCTACCAGAGCCCATAGCTTTTCCCAATTATATTATTATCTATTGACAACATTTATGAGGAGTATGCTGTACATATTCCCAGATTGTGTGATTTGGGTTTGTCAGCTGCTCTATTCAGTCACGCATGTGGGTCACAATGGCCAGAGTGGTAGCAGAGCAGAAGTGGCTGACCAGTCCTATGTACATACTGTAGTCTGTGTGTACCAAGACCCTGACATCAAAAGAACCCCAGTGGCCCACAAGTTGTCCCGTTTGCATGACGGAGCCCCAGGGGGATGGCCGTGTTTGATAATATCTGTTCATTAAAAATGAACAGTGTGAGACAGACTGAGAACACGTCCTGCGCCCAGGGGGAGCCCAGAAGAAGACTAGCAACAGAGCTCTCTGAGACACGGAGAGGAGAGGCACCATGGGTACAGGCTAAAAATAACACCTTTATCATTAACACACACTGGCTTTATCAATGTTGTACTGTACACCATTCAATTAAAACATGGTCTCATTTTGTCTCTCCTTTTGATGTTTATGTGATAAGACTAAAGGCCTGTCATTCTGTTCACTTTTATTTACAACTGAAAAAGTCAGCAATAAATCAACAGAATGCACATTATCAATTGTATGTATCCTTTTGGTATATAATGCATCAATTGTGCAATAACTTTCATTGCCAAATATATATATATATATATATATATATATATATATATATATATATATATATATATGGCTTACTCCATAAACATGATAACATTGATTTAATTCTAATTGGTAGCACATTGTTTAATTTCTACTGTGTATAAACACATTTTCTGTTACACTGTACATGTAATTAACAGTCCAGAAGGCAGATATTTTTAAATATCAATATTTACATTCATGCATCCAAGGTTATTTCCCTCATAATGTACAGTATTAGTGACGTATCTTCAGTATGTGAGTACATTATAGGTAAGATATGCTAATACCTATGCATTTCACAATGCAAGGTCTGTTTTTACAAAATTCAACAGTAATGGAACATTTTCAGAGATACTGCCAGCCATACATGTATTGTGCTCTCTCTCACGCACGTACACTCACACAACACGCACTAATATACAAATGAACTGCACCTATGCCAACAAGCAGCGTAATAATTGAGTAATGCTTTAAATCAACTGTGTACTGTTTATTGCAGAAGGATGTTGGGAATGCCTGTGAGTGTGAGTGCACTGAGTAACATGTCCCTTTTGAGGCCATCCTCTCTGCAACTTGATATCCGGATTAGCCTCTGTTTAGATTCCTGTCCTCCACCAATCAGCATGTCAGCCCTGGGATCATGTGCACTGTTTCTATAGTGATGGGTTGTCCCCTTGCTGGGAGGTGGAACAATTAAGACTGTAAAATCACATCAGAAGATGGCAAAGGGCTTCCCACTGTCCCCAACTACCTCCCCCTGGCTGTCTAACCAGTGAGATGTGACAACACAAAATGCAATACCATGTTAGTCTTGTGATAAAGAATTGAGGGGTAGTATAAGCTGCTAAAAGCATGGTCAGAATAACACACATTCACAAACTCACATCACAGAAATCCCCATCATATTCGCTGAAGTTACAGGGGAACACAGAAAGGCATATCAAACAGCAAGAGATCAACAATTGATACCCAAAACTCTTTGCAGATATGTTGTCTGCGTCAGTGTCTGTTGCAAATTAAAAGTGGGCTTGAAGCATCAGAACATTAAAATGAATGATATGATTACTAAATAATTAATAGAAAAAGAAAACATTTCAAATCATTAAACTGACTGAATTAACCAATAATGACATACATTAGCAGACAAATAAATAAATAAATAAATACAGTCAATAAATAAATGAACAAATTAGATAGATAGGTAGATAAAGTTTGTCCTCAGGCTCAGTTCTCAGTTGTCTTGTTGGTATGGAACACAGGAACTGACTTGATCTCCTTGTTTTACTTCCCACTTGGTATGACCTGTAAATATATGTTTTAATTGCATAGTCAGATGAGCACTATACATCCCAAACCACAGCAGGCACCTGCAACTGTGCCAGTATAATACAAATTCTGCTTTAAAATTCAAAAATTAAAATGGTCAGATGAGAATAGATGAGAGACAGCCCGAGACTGTAGAAAAAAATTATACATTTTCCATAAAAACTGCGTGCACATTTTCTTCATGATCTGGTCCTCCGCAACCTCCTATCCCATTGCTGCACTTCAGTGTCTGTTCCTACATTGAAGTTGTCTGTAAGAAGTGTAGAGCTGTGCAGATTGGCAGCCTAGCAGTCAACCATTCCCCTGTCAATGACACTTCATGTTGACAACATGATGTTCAGTCTGGTGTAATACTTCTCAATTCACTTTTTTACTCATTCTCTGAATCCACTTCCATGTTTTGTTTTTCTCTCTATCTGGTTCTCGCCGCTCTCCTTTATCTGGATGTTGTCTTTCATCCAGGCAACATGCTAGGAGAGAAGGAAAGGTGTTTATGCATTTTTAACAGGTCAGCCCCCTGTTGCGTTCTAGGTAATAGGAGTTTTGGGTAGGGTAGGGTGGATGGTGGGGGGTGATGGTGATGTCACTTCCTCTTTCTGTCAGTGGACAGTCTACACCACAGTGTTGTTGGGGCCCATGGCCTTCTTGTTGCGTACACTCATGGCATACTCCCCACGACTTGTCCCGTTCTCCTCTTTCCGTAGTGGTTTCCTGCAAACAGACACAATTTATGTTAGGACAGTAAAGGTGCTTTAGTCAACTTCAGGAAAAACATAAATCATTCTGCTAAAGCCTGTGGCTGTTCACCTATGGAGAGATTGGATTTCATAGGCTATTGTGGATGCACTGGTCAGTCATGCTCTCTAATAAACTGAACATTAAAAGGTCACATTACTCTTAGAGCCAGGAAAGGAACGAGAAGATACAAATCAAACAGAAGAGATGTTGGATGTGGCATTTAGACACACTCTCCATTGATGGTCGATTATTTGTTATTTTACCTCAGAAGAGCTTGTTATGTATACATTGGACACAGAAGAAATACTGCTAGGGTTTAAATTCAAACCCACCCTAATACGGTGATACTCTGTGTGTGATTCTCTCTAACTCTGGTTATGCTGTAATGCTACCCTTTCTGTGAGCCACATTTGGGTGAAAAACAAGCAGAAGCACATGATCCTCCACTGTTATTGGTCTGTGAAAAGCAGTATCCTTCAATGCAAGCCCCTTTCATGCATCCCTCAGTGCTTTTGTGGTTATTATATTTGTCCAGTGTACTGTGTCTTCTGTGCCGACCCCTTCAGCTGCTCTCCTCTACCCAGGCTTATGTAACCCAGAGACAGATCTGAATACAGTCAGTACAGTCATTGTCCCACTCATTACTGTACACTGCCTTCAGTGGCACAGAGGACCCTTAAGCTACATCTTAGCTCAGTTTCTCCTTCCCTCTCCTCCTAAAGCCACATCTGGCCAGTCTCACCTGACGGACAGTCATTCTCAGTCTAATCCACAAATGCTATGTCCACAACAAACCATTTTTGTACTTATGTATTGTATATTGTTTTTTTGTGGTTTGGCTTTTATATAAGCCCTTGGGCTTCCAACCACACCTGCACACCGTGTTTTATTACATTTTTTATCTGATTTGTTGTTTATCACTTATTTTCTTTGGTGCAAATAAACTTAAACTAAACAAATCATCATCCACAAATACTATGTCTTCTTGTAAAAATATAATATTTAATCTCCATGGATTATACAAGCCATAACTGTATTGTATGAGTGATAGAAACTGTGTTAATGTCTCTGAACCCATTCACTCTTTCCAGTACTAACTTAGAGACACTTAACTTGGAGTATCTCATTAGTATAACTGAATAGTCACTAATGAGTACTCCGTAGCTTCCTTACTAGCTTCCTGTCTGGGGGTGACAGTTGGCTTCCTAAGTCTCAGGCAAGGTTACCCATCACACGAGACAGTGACAGTGACTCAGTGCACTTCCTATGTTTTGTTTTCTGTAAATGCCATCTGTAGGAGTGTGTCCTGTAGTGCCGGACTGTGGTGGTGGTGATGGCTACCCACAGACAGACGCCAGCCCTGCTGATAAACAGATGCTGTGTTCTCCCTCTGGGACCTGGGACAACCTGCCTGGGAGAGAAAACTGCCGGGCCCAAGGGTACCAACACATCCTGCTGGGACATGATTGGCTAGTGCTGGGGTATATGTGTATGTGTGTGTGTGCGTGCATGTGTTCATGATTGGAGGTAGCTAGGGGAGTTGGGATACACCAGACTTCCCCACTGCAGTCTCCACAGACCACTAAAGAGGTGTTTTAACATTCTCCAAAGGCACTGACCTAGTCTCTAGTCAATGATCATCAATGTTTTTCCAGCAGACCACCATAGAGGGCAGGGTGTTTGGGCCTCACAGCGACCTCTACCCAGGCCTTCAATAATAGATGTCATGCTGTTGACACGTGGCAGGTGGCTACACAACACTTCACAGGTCAGATTAATATTTCATATCAAAGCTGTGCAATCGCAGTACATGCCCCTGTTTGAAGTTTGGGGAAGGGATAATGTTGAGGTTGGGACATGTGTTGAGCTGTTTACAGTTACTCTCATCCCATCTGGACATTAGAGGAACAAGCTACTGTTCAGAGACCCCTCATATAGTGGTTTTCACTTTTCACTGTTTTGAAAGTGGTTGTGGTAATGAAATATCATAAAACCAGAATAGATAACATACTATGTAATATATTTATTACCACAACCACTTTCAAAACAGTGAAAAGTGAAAACCACTATATGAGGGTAGCTTCCTCGTGAAATCTTTCCCTAACTGAATGGTTATGGTGGATTTACCCTGAACACAAACTGTCCTGATTTGTCCTGTCCTGATTTGTCCAGATATCCCTGAGGAGCAAGTAGTTGAGGAAAAACCAGCACAGATTCATTAGTATGTTATCTTGTTTTGTTGTGGTGTTTAGACTCCCTGCATTGCTGACAGCATGGACTGCAGCATCATGTCTGTGGTTTGGATAGCACAGCACTGTCACGCAGCGTGTCTGAATCTTCCTCTCTATGCTCACTAACAGCAGCTCCCCTGATGCTATGAACCTAATTGAATTGAATTGGATGGAATGGGTTTCGTCCAACCTCATTCCCTCTGACAGACGACTGGCGGAATAAGATTACGAGACAAAAAAACAAAAGGTCAAATGTGTGCAGCCCGAGCTAAGGGACGGCCTGGGCTTGCAGAGATAGCACATCTAGTGTCTGTGCTGCTGGGGCCTTGGCCACACTCCAGTGGATTTTCATTGGGAAAGCCCTGACCACTGAGGGGCTGGAAGGGCTATATATAACAGGCTCTGTTTTTCTCACTGACAAACCCTCTCTCACATTGTTATTGACAAAGACATCCAATTACTACGGTTTCACAGCTTTGGTAGACAACATCCTTATCTGTCCCTGTATCATTCATTTCTCTGGCTGTTTCTCTCGCACACTCAGTCAGAGAGGATGCATGATTATAGCGCCCATGACAAAGTTTCCTCAGACTGATTTCTCATTGGCTCAGGACTAATGAGTGTTCAATGTGGGCAGTCAGACTGGACCTTAAGAGTTTCTCCCTCCTCCCTCAGTCAGAGGGGATGGAGGCTTGGTGTGGCACAGAGTCTGCAGTCACAGAGCCCACTTCCATCAGAGTCTGCAGTCACAGAGCCCACTTCCATCAGAGTCTGCAGTCACAGAGCCCACTTCCATCAGAGTCTGCAGTCACAGAGCCCACTTCCATCAGATTCTGCAGTCACAGAGCCCACTTCCATCAGATTCTGCAGTCACAGAGCCCACTTCCATCAGAGCTTCAGGACACGACCTGCTTGCATGTATAAAAGATGTGGCCTGCGACTGAATGACTGCGCAAATTAATTCATAAATAATGACTTGGGTTTGGGGCTACAGCGGCCCGTATTGCAACAACACTTCCCTGCCATCGCTGCATTAAATAAGGTGCCCCTTGGCTACAGAGGGGGCTGGAGAATTGCCATAATGAATTCCTGAGCCAACCGCCTATTAGTTCCACTGCCTGAACTTGCCTGTTTGACGTTTGAGAAAAGGAGAAATATTATCCTACTGAGGAAAGCCATATGTAGCATCCACTCTTTATACAGTTTTATGAATAACAATTTGATGTATTCAAATAATGTGCAGAAACGTGTCAACAGCTGTGTCTGTATGCATTTCTTTGCGCACATTTATATTTTCTTTAGTCACACTGTGCCTGTTAGCATGTGTTTATCATGCGTGTCTATGTCCAGCACCGTGCACAGTATGTGTGTGTTTAAGTGTCTGAACGCATGTGTCTGAGTGACACTCTGTGCTGCCTGAATGTCAGACAGGGAATTGGGTCTTGGTTGTGCTGCAGGCTAAAACCCCACATGGCCTTTCCTTTGATGAACCAATCCAAACAGTGGGAAACAGTATACATCATCACTACGACGAGAGGGACAGGTTCATGGCGTTCTCCGGTAACCCATATTGCCTTTACTTTCACAACCATTCAGCTGGTAACCTAAAAAGCTCTGAACAATTACACAATTCAAAATCAGCCCACTCCGAGAAATAGAACAGGGAATGTACAAAGTATTTCAACGTCTCGAACACTGCTGATAGAGACAGCTAACTATAGCACAGGTCTTTCAGATCAGTGGGTTATTCCCTGTAATATTATATATATTCATTTCAATCTAACTTGCTTTATTGTGATAGCTGCAATGCGTAACGCTATATATGATATACAGTACAGTATTAATGAGTGACAGTGTAATGACATTGCTCTAGGTGAATAAGTAAGTAAGTCGCTTGTGAGAGCCGGAACGGCTCATAGGAGTCAAATCAAATCAAATGTTATTTGCCACATGCGCCGAATACAACAGGTGTAGACATTACCGTGAAATGCTTACTTACAGCCCTTAACCAACAAGGCATTAATTTTTTTTTATAAAAAAGTAAAATAAAACAACAACAAAAAAGTGTTGAGAAAAAAGAGCAGAAGTAAAATAAAATAACAGTAGGGAGGCTATGTATACAGGGGGGTACCGGAGCCTATCTCCTGTTTCTCTAGCATGAGGTAGCTTGATGTACAAGTACACCCCTTGGACAGGACGCTAGTCTATCGCAGGGCCTTACCCCCAATCTATCTCTTTAATGCTGAATGCTGATCATTGAGTTATTCCTTGTAAGATTATATATATTCATTTCAATCTAACTTCCTTTATGGTGATAGCTGTATTGTGTAATATTATGTATGACATACAGTACAGTATTGATGAGTGACCAGTGTAATGACTCTTACAGTGTAAATTACAGTGTAATGATCTATTCCATTTCCCTGACCTTTGAACTCCCTTTGACCCAAAATACTTTTTTTGTGTATTCTGAATGGATGTAGGCTATAAGAATGTCACCACACAGTCTCTTCCATGCCAATCACATTGACATTGACAGCTAAACAACATACCTCTTTATGGCCTTGTAGCAGATGATCATGGCTGAAAGGAGGAAAACAACTGAGGCACAGCCCACCGTCCCAAGCACTATGATTTCCATCCACCATGGCCTCAACAGCGGCAGAGGGGACTCAACCACTGGGAGGGAAGGGGAGAAGGGGGGTAGGGTAGGAGGAGAGAGAGCAGAGGGAGGTAGGGGGTGGAGATAGAGAGAGGGGAAGGTTAGGGTGGTTTAGAGAGAGGGGGAGGGTGGGGGTAGAGAGAGGGGAGGGTAGTAGGTTAGAGAAGGGGAGGGGGGTAGAGAGGAGGAGAGGGGGGGAAGGGAGGGTAGGAGAGAGGGGAGAGGGGGAGGGTAGGGGGGTTAGAGAGAGAGGGGGAGGGTAGGGGTTAGGGAGAGGGGGAGGGGTAGGGGGTAGAGAGAGGGGAAGGGTAGGGGGTAGAGAGAGGGGGAAGGGTAGGGGTAGAGAGAGGGGAGGTAGGGGGTGAGAGAGAGAGGGGAGGGGAGGGGGAGGGGGTGAGAGAGAGGGGGGGGGGGGGGGGGTTAGAGAGAGAGGGGGAGGGTAGGGGGGTAGAGTAGAGAGGGGGGAGGGTAGGGGGTTAGAGAGAGGGGAAGGGTTAGGGGGGGTGGGTGGGGGGGTAGAGGGAGAGGGGGAGGGTAGGGGGTGGGTAGAGGAGGGGGGAGGGGGGGTAGGGGGGTGGTAGAGGTAGAGAGGAGGGGAGGGGTGGGAGGTGGGGTTTAGAGAGAGGGGGGGTAGGGAGAGGGGGAGGGGTAGGGGGGAGAGAGAGGGGAAGGGTAGGGGTAGAGGGGACGGGGGAGGGGTTTAGGGAGGGGGTAGAGAGAGGGAGGGAGGGGTAGGGGGTTAGAGAGAGGGGGAGGGTGGGGGGGGTAGAGAGAGGCGAAGGGTAGGGGTAGAGGAGAGAGAGGGGGGGGTTTAGGGGGTATAGAGAGGGGGGGAGGGGTAGGGGGTGGTAGAGAGAGGGGAGGGTTAGGGGGTAGAGAGAGGGGGAGGGGAGGGGGTAGAGAGAGAGGGAGGGGAGGGGTAGAGGGAGAGAGCGGGGGAGGGGAGGGGGGAGAGAGAGGGGAGGGGGAGGGGGAAGGAGGGAGGGAGGGGGGAAGAGAGAGAGGGAGGGTAGGGGTTAGAGAGAGAGGGAGGGTAGGGGGAAGAGAGGAGAGAGGAGGGTAGGGGAAGAGAGAGAGGGAGGGAGGGGTTAGAGAGAGAGGGAGCGTGGACAAAGAGAGAAAAGACAAGTAGTTTCATTTTTCAAACAGCATTAGCATTCTAACAGCCTTAGCACTTGGCCGCTTATCGAGATTAGGTTATCATGCAAACTGATTTAGCCTAGATACTGTGTTTGTCCTATGTATTACATCATAAATGCTTCATAGACAGCCATCATGTCTTAGGATAACATGATGAAAGCTCATCATTCATGCAGCCCAACCCCAGTCCATGCTGTAAATCAATTTGCTGATAAATTTTGTATTGATTCTCCGCAACATTATTATACCATTCCACCATAAAGCTCTGGGTCTGATTCGTCTCCTAAATCTGGGTAGCAGGGTGGTGCTCACCTGTTCTAAGGTTCAATGTTCAGAGATATCTAACCCTGCTCCATGAATCATTTAAAATGCAGTCAGTCTTTATTACAAAAGCACTCTGTGTCCAAACTGATTTCACCTGCAGGAGCACCATGTTCTGGTCACATTATGTCTGACTGAGGGTAGAACCATGTACAAGTACACATGCCAGGGACATTGTATTACACTCAGTGCAGCTTACAGTATCAAGAGCGCTCTCTCTCTCTCTCCCTCTCACTCTCTCTCTCTCTCTCTCACTCTCTCTCTCTTTAAAATCTATGTGGCACTGAAAATACTGCTCAGTTTGACAGGGGGGAGGTCCCCAGCAATAAGCATGTCTCATTCTGTCAGAGAGGGAATCCATTTTATTATATCTAAGTATGAAAACATGAACTGAACATACTGTAGCTCCCCAACCAACTGCTAAGAGTGTAGTGATGACTGTATTCTGGGTATAATAATCTAGATCAGGGATGGGCAACTTCATTTAAATTTGTAGGAACTCAGTCTCAACTTACTGTTCAGAGTTTGAATAGTAGAATACACGATATTTGGTAGTGCATTAGCAGTTTTTATCTTGTTATGTCAGTCACTGACACTCAATTAGCCCATGCAAAAAAAATATATATTGGTAAATTAGTCTAGCCAGCTATCTAAATTTGTAGTAATCATGGTCAAATTACTGACCGTGGGGCCCCCATTGATTTTGTTAATCACTCTCACTCAGATATCATATTAAAAACTGCAAACATTTCTCTCCACCTTATGGCAAAATGTATAGAATTGCAGGAAGTTAACTCTAAAACGTATATTTATTCTCTCCGCTGTCAAGAAGGCGGCCACTAAAATGTTTTGTTCACAAGGTGGGCCCAGCCCCCCCAACAAAATGTCACTTAGGGCCCCCAAAAGGTTACTGCATGTGTGGGTATGGATGTGGGTACGCAGACCCGCAAGCCACTTGCGGCCGTTCATGATGAGCTCAGATTTTTTGTGGCTCCACCTCCATCAAAGTTGCCCATCCCTGATCTAGTAACAGAGAGAAATGCAATAATCACATACATATGCATTTGGATTATAGTTATGTTGTGAACGAGAGGGAGGAATTGACTCCATGGTAACACATAACCCTTAGTAATGCTGTGGAATATTCCAACACTGCAGATTTATCCAGAGCAAATGACAAGGCATGTTTCTCCCCAGTACACCACGTCATGAGTCACTATGAATGTAAAATCTCCTCTGAGCCCAACTTCCGTTTTAATCCTACATTTTGTCAACGGCTGTAGGATTTAATTCAGTCGGGGTAAGGATCTACTTCATTGTGATAAAGATCTCTCATTTGAAGGGAATTCTGAGCCATTTTTAGAGCACAGACTCTTATTCAACACTGCCAATTTGCCTCATTTGAAACTTTTTGTAGATACAGTCTCTCTCATTGTCCCACTTTCATGCATACTTCATGCATATTCATGTTTTATTTTGGAATCAGCTCCCTTATGCATCTGGCACATACAAAAACACACAGATTTTACAGCAGCAATGATTACAGTTAAACCATTTAGAAAAGGAGTAGGCCTCTTATTTATTCACAAAACTCTCACTAAGGCCAGATTATACATGTTTTGCCTCCCTCCCAATACATAAATATAAATAAGTGCCTCCTTCCCAACCTACCATAGGCTATTATAAAAAGCTGCTATTTTCACATTTTACTCTAAGAAATACATATTTTTTTTGCTGGGGCCAAGAGGTTTTGCTTTGCAATTGTAATGGTTCTCTTCTTTTCAAACCACATAACAAATACAGAATGCCATGCTGCAATGTACAGTCAGAGAATCTCATAAAATGATTCAGATAATCTACCATGCCAGCAGTCACACACAGAGGTATATAACCAAAGAAATAGAATAACATACATACAGACTGTGCATAACTCTCTAGATTCATAAACAGAGAATTACAATATGGTGAGAAGATACACAGCCAATACTAGACTGCAGACCAAGTTTGCACAAAAGACCCGGTGGAAGAGTCCTGTGTTCATGATGGACATCGTGGACTTGTAAATCAACAGGTGGCAGATAGGTTAGCTAAGTTAGAGACACAGTGGTCAATGAAAGCCCTATCTATCTATTCATAGATGCCTCACGTGGTGATGCAGGAGGAAAAGAGGCCCATCTGAGTTGACCAAACAGAGGAAATCATTTAAGCTGATTGATTGAACCCTTTCCACGGCTGTCTGTCGAGCATTTGATGATAGAGTGCTCCTCCATACTCTCAGCATGAAGTGTTCTGGCTGACTGATTTTCAACATTCTCAGTTGTGACCTGGGATGAGTGCACCATCAGCAATGCCTGTCCCATATTTCATAACTTCTCATTACAGTATTCATGACAACATACAAATCATATCAACTGTCATATTGACAAACTATCCTCCTTCCACCATTGCGATATCATATACTGATTCATATAGTTGATATAACTACTTTGTCAATGACAAGAATGTCACAGTTTCAGATCGGATACATATCTGATCATTAGTTAAGCACTGAAATATGTTGAAGGAGACATGGAAACCAGTAAGGCAAGAAAACTGCATGACAACAGACACACACACACACACACACACACACACACACACACACACACACACACACACACACACACACACACACACACACACACACACACACACACACACACACACACACACACACACACACACACACATACATACACATACATACACATACACATACACATACATACACACTCAGTGCCACCGGCTCGACTTTAAAACACAGAAGGAACTGCCGGGCCAGTTCATTAGCCCCCTTATCTGTATCAAAACCCTAATTTAATTAACTCATCTGCTTTTTATATCAGGGGGTCCCTCCAGGGGAAACCCAACCACTGAGCCCAGCAGGCAGATATTTCACAGGAAACTGGGAACTCCCCAAGGTCAAGCCAAGCATAAATTAGCCCTCTGTTCAGCTGTCAACATTCTGCCAGCTCTATCACACACTCGTAGTCTTCTCAGAAAAAAGCCTTTCTACATCAACACACAACACACTCTTCCACTACCTGGTTTTAAATTCTGCTCCCCCTAAGCCCCTGGCTCTTTTCTGAGAAGAAATACACTTTATTCCACTATAGATGCTCTGGTATAAGGCCACTGTACTGCAAAGTGCTAGCAAGACATTTAAAGTGAAAAGGTTTAGGTAGATACAGGCACTGGAAGTGAGGCAGTTGTGAGTGAAACAGGTGACAGTGAGACAGGATAGTGAGACAGGAGCGTGAAACAGCAGAGGCTGGTTGATGTGGTGTGATACAGGTGTGAGTTGAGCCTTACCTGTGGCCAACAGTAGCCGTGGGGGAGGTGGGGGAGGAGGTGGGGGAGGAAGGGGAGGGTAGCTTCTACACTGGCATGCCAGCTGGCAGTGTTCGCTCACTTTCTCAGTTACAGTCTGCGAGCATGACCTCTGGAGTTCACCCTTATGGACAAAGAGAAAGAGAGACAGAAAATAGATAAATAGTTTCACTATTCATTATGCATTCAAAAATATTAACTTTTATTATCCACCCTCAAATGGCATATTTCAGAATGTCTGCTTTTTTATCATTAAAAAAGGAGCGTGAGATGAGAGCGTAGAATGTTAATATACTGTAGTGTAGCCTACCTGCTACAATATGCACTGAGTAATTGTATCAGTGTATATAATGTCCTGCACCATCAGTGCTAGGGCATCAGCAAACTAGATCATCATGGTTTGTGGTTTGGAAACAGTAGTACACAAGATCATATCTCTCTACTATATTGCTTCTCTAGAAGCTGCATTCATAGACATACAGGATGGTATCATGTCTACGGATGCAACCCTCTCCCTCAGAGAAACCACCCACCACCAGAGTGGGCAGCAGGCTGCCCCTGAGGAGTGTGTGTGGGTGTACTTGGAAACTCGAGCAAATCATATTACACATGAACCCTGGCAACATCCCGCGCCTGCATAGCGACTCACTGTTCTCTGTAGGCAGTAGCATGGGCCAGGGGTTAGAATACTCATCCTCAACATCATATTCCAGATGGGAATCTATAGCTCACTATGTGCTACTTTCCACGAGTCTACCGCTATCTGCCTGCGTGCGTGCGTGCGTGCGTGCGTGCGTATGTGTGTTCCAATCACCAATAGCCTACTTCACATGAAAACATTGCATCAATTGACTGGGAACTACAGCTGCTTACCACTAAAAACGTATCATAGTTGATGCAATTGTGTGAGAGTGCAGAAAGGCCACAGGCACCTCAATAAACATGGCATTGTGTGTTTTAAAAATTTTTTTTATATATTTGATATTACGTTACAAAAAGGTGACAAGAGCAGTTCACTCAACCAGGATCAATAGCCAGTATTATCAAAAACACAATACAGCCCCACTTAGATGTGTAATAACTCGCCATGCGTAAAATTACAAGAGTGTGTAGGCGCGCACGAACACCATACCTACCTGGCATGAGAGTAAAACCAACGAGAGAATGCAATGACCGAAGAGAAGAGGCCAAAAACTTAAAGTAAATGGTATTAGATCTTGGACCAGCATTCCTCCTGCGCTCTTTTCGAAGACACTAGACAGTGTAGCGAGTAAACAAGCACGGTATGCATAGGATTGGACCGTTTGGGAAATTCTCATCCACCCTATCCAAGTCGGCAGCGATATCTGTGACCGGCGTCTCCAGAAATAGTTTATGCCATATTCATTTTGCGCTTGAATTTCCGTTGTCGGTGGCATATGACAGACAAAGAAAGCAGGTGACCAAGCAATCCCAATATATAAAGTTATTTATCTGGGCACTCAAACGCAATCCGAATCACAGCGCTATAGGTCGATGTCCAGCGCTGCGAATCCAACCGATGCTCCCTTGCTCCGTGATGTGAGAACCGTAGACGGGCCATAGGCTACCTTACATTCTTGCTTGTCAACATGCATGAGTGAAAATACTCAAGCCATCGAAGTTGAAGCAAACGAAGAAGAAATATCATTAGAATGATTGTCCAACACAACTCCCCAAAATAGCTGCAGCCCCGTCACACATTTCCTCAACTTATTTACTAAATATTACTTAAAGGCTATTTACAAATATGTGCAACTCTTGAGAGCAGAGCAAAGGGTTAAACCGATGCATCCCTCTGCCTAAAGACTATAGATTAGGCGGGGAGCCTCACCGTACCATCGCGCATCCAGTGGAGTGCCCTTCCTTCCAGCGCAGTCATACTTGACTGCGAGTAGGCTATTCTCGAATCGCACGAACGGTAGGAAAAGTTGAACAGACGAGAGACGTTTACGGAGACATGTAGGTCGAAATGCCCAGTATGCAAGACGTATTATGTGTTACTAAAATCCGTGCCACTCGATTTAGTATATGTTACATTACGTTAGGTTACATTATTTGACCCGTTTAGTATGATATATTACGTTCGATAAGACAGTAGGTTACTTAAACTGACCATTAGCCTAACTCCAAACTCTAACCTTAACCCAACTAGTGTTAGCGACCTAGCTAATGTTAGCATTAGCGACCTAGCCACCTAGCTAATGTTATCCACAACAAATTGGAATTCATACCACATCATATGTATTGCAAAATGTAACATATTGTACGAATTCAATCAAATCAAATTTTATTGGTCACATTCTTTGTAAACAACAGGTGTAGACTAACTGAAATTATTATGGCCCTTCCCAACAATGCAGAGAGAGAGAAAAATAGAAATAATAGACAAATAAAAACAGAAGGAATACATACAACGATAACTGGGCTATATACACAGGGTACCAAGTCGATTTACAGGGGGGACGAGGTAATTGAGGTAGATATGTACATATCGGTAAGGATAAAGTGACTAGGCAACAGGATACTGTAATAAACAGTAGCAGCAGCTATGTGATGAGTCAAAAGAGTTAGTGCAAAAAGTGTCAATGTCCGGGTAGCTATTTGGTTAACAATTTCACTAACTATTTAGCAGTCTTATGGCTTGGGGGTAGAAGCTGTTCAGGGCCCTGTTGGTTCCAGATTAGGTGCATCGGTATCACTTGCCGTGCGGTAGCAGAGAGAAGAGTCTATGACTTGGGTGGCTGTAGTCTTTGACCATTTTTAGGGCTTTCCTCTGACCACCTGGTATAGAGGTCCTGGATGGCAGAGAGCTCTGCCCCAGTGATGTACTGGGCAGTACGCATTACCCTCTGTAGCACTTTGCGGTCGGATGCCAAGCAGTTGCCATACCAAGCAGTCATGCAGCCAGTCAAGATGCTCTCAATGGTCCAGCTCTATAACTTTTTGAGAATCTGAGGGCCCATGCCTGATTATTTTCAGCCTCCTGAGGGGGAAGAGGCATTGCCGTGCCTTCTTCACGACTGTGTTGGTGTGTGTGGACCATGATAATTCCTTAGTGATGTGGACACCGGGGAACTTGAAGCTCTCGACCCGCTCCACTACAGCACCGTCAATGTGGATGGGGGCGTGCTTAGCCCTCTGTCTCCTGTAGTCCACAATCAGCTCCTTGGTCTTGCTGATGTAGAGGGAGAGGTTGTTGTCCTGGCACCACACTGCCAGGTCACTGACCTCCTCCCTTATAGGTTGTCTCATCATCGTCGATGATCAGGCCAACCCCCGTCATGTCGTCAGCAAACTTAATGATAGTGTTGGAGTCGTGCGCGGCAACGCAGTCGTGGTTGAACAGGGAGTACAGGAGGAGACTAAGCACGCACACCTGAGGGGCCCCTGTGTTGAGGGTCAGCGTGGCGGATGTGTTATTGCCTACCCTCACCACCTGGGATAACCTGTACATGATATAAAGGATACATAAACTAAAAAGACTAAAACAGTTTCATGAGTTTCTGGGTTTGCCGTTAAGTAATTATAGCAATTTCAAAGTAACTCCAGTTGCAGAGGGAGGTGTTCAGTACCAGGGTCCTGAGCTTAGTGATGAGCTTAGAGGGCACTATGGTGTTGAACGCTGAGCTATAGTCAATGAACAGCATTCTCACATAGGTGTTCCTCTTGTCCAGGTGGGAGAGGGCAGTGTGGAGTGCAAAAGAGATTGCCTCACCTGTGTATCTGTTGGGGTGGTATGCAAATTGGAGTCGGTCCAGGTGTTGATGTGAGCCACATATGTGAGTGCTACGGGGCGAGTCATTTAGACAACATATCATACGAATTGTAATTCGTAAAATACCATACGTCCTACAATTCGTATTATATTGTACGACTGCTATTACATTGGTAGGCCAATGTAATGTAACCTAACATAATGTAACAAGTGATATTAAATGGAGTGGCATGGATTTTAGTAAAAAATAACATGTTTTGCTCTGAGACCAGGTTGGCCAATTGCAGACCCTACAGAGGGAACAGTAGGAGAGGAAAGTTGCATAACAATTTGAATGTGCATGCAGTCTTCTGTAAATAACAGGACACCGTTATCCATTGAGTCTATGTTTACAGTGTCTCTCTCGCGACCTCAGTGGACAAGCAAATGTGGTGCTCTCATTACATGCAGGTCTCTCCATATAATTCTCATCCTCTTCGCTTATCTCCCTGATCAGCACAGAGTGGAGATGATTTATGCAGACTAAAGGTCAATTACTTCTTCTAATTAGACAAGTCTACTCTAAACACTCTGCAGGGGAAAACACTGGCTAGCCTGATGTCAATTAACTCTTTAATATGATGTCTAGTCTACTTTCCTCACATCAGTACCCATTCATGTGCTAACTAAACATGATGGGGGACAAGACTATGTATGGAGAGTAATAAAGGAATTTTGACTTTAATTTTTGGACCATGAATATAGGTATGACTACAGTGGGGGAAAAAAGTATTTAGTCAGCCACCAATTGTGCAAGTTCTCCCACATAAAAAGATGAGATAGGCCTGTAATTTTCATCATAGGTACACATCAACTATGACAGACAAAATGAGAATTTTTATTTGCAAATGATGGTGGAAAATAAGTATTTGGTCAATAACAAAAGTTTCTCAATACTTTGTTATATACCCTTTGTTGGCAATGACACAGGTCAAACGTTTTCTGTAAGTCTTCACAAGGTTTTCACACACTGTTGCTGGTATTTTGGCCTATTCCTCCATGCAGATCTCCTCTAGAGCAGTGATGTTTTGGGGCTGTTGCTGGGCAACACGCACTTTCAACTCCCTCCAAAGATTTTCTATGGGGTTGAGAAAAAAAAGTATTTAGTCAGCCACCAATTGTGCAAGTTCTCCCACTTAAAAAGATGAGAGGCCTGTAATTTTCATCTTAGGTACACGTCAACTATGACAGACAAATAGAGAAAAAAAATTCCAGAAAATCACATTGTAGGATTTTTAATGAATTTATTTGCAAATTATGGTGGAAAATAAGTATTTGGTCACCTACAAACAAGCAAGATTTCTGGCTCTCACAGACCTGTAACTTCTTCTTTAAGAGGCTCCTCTGTCCTGCACTCGTTACCTGTATTAATGGCACCTGTTTGAACTTGTTATCAGTATAAAAGACACCTGTCCACAACCTCAAACAGTCACACTCCAAACTCCACTATGGCCAAGACCAAAGAGCTGTCAAAGGACACCAGAAACAAAATTGTAGACCTGCACCAGGCTGGGAAGACTGAATCTGCAATAGGTAAGCAGCTTGGTTTGAAGAAATCAACTGTGGAAGCAATTATTAGGAAATGGAAGACATACAAGACCACTGATAATCTCCCTCGATCTGGGGCTCCACGCAAGATCTCACCCCGTGGGGTCAAAATGATCACAAGAACGGTGAGCAAAAATCCCAGAACCACACGGGGGGGACCTAGTGAATGACCTGCAGAGAGCTGGGACCAAAGTAACAAAGCCTACCATCAGTAACACACTACGCCGCCAGGGACTCAAATCCTGCAGTGCCAGACTGCTTAAGGCAGTACATGTCCAGGCCCATCTGAAGTTTGCTAGAGTGCATTTGGATGATCCAGAAGAGGATTGGGAGAATGTCATATGGTCAGATGAAACCAAAATATAACTTTTTGGTAAAAACTAAACTCGTCGTGTTTGGAGGACAAAGAATGCTGAGTTGCATCCAAAGAACACCATACCTACTGTGAAGCATGGGGGTGGAAACATCATGCTTTGGGGCTGTTTTTCTGCAAAGGGACCAGGACGACTGATCCGTGTAAAGGAAAGAATGAATGGGGCCATGTATCGTGAGATTTTGAGTGAAAACCTCCTTCCATCAGCAAGGGCATTGAAGATGAAACGTGGCTGGGTCTTTCAGCATGACAATGATCCCAAACACACCGCCCGGGCAACGAAGGAGTGGCTTCGTAAGAAGCATTTCAAGGTCCTGGAGTGGCCTAGCCAGTCTCCAGATCTCAACCCCATAGAAAATCTTTGGAGGGAGTTGAATGTCCGTGTTGCCCAGCGACAGCCCCAAAACATCACTGCTCTAGAGGAGATCTGCATGGAGGAATGGGCCAAAATACCAGCAACAGTGTGTGAAAACTTTGTGAAGACTTACAGAAAACGTTTGACCTGTGTCATTGCCAACAAAGGGTATATAGCAAAGTATTGAGAAACTTTTGTTATTGACCAAATACTTATTTTCCACCATCATTTGCAAATAAATTCATAAAAAATCCTACAATGTGATTTTCTGGAGAACATTTTTCTCAATTTGTCTGTCATAGTTGACGTGTACCTATGATGAAAATTACAGGCCTCTCATCTTTTTAAGTGGGAGAAATTGCACAAT